AGAGAAGATGACCACTTCTCAGGTCCAGGCAAAAGTGGGCATGAAAAAAAAAAAAAAAATCACCCAACAGCTTGCCTTGTCTTCTACACCTAAACCAGTTTCTTCTTGTTGGACTTAATGTCTTCTTTTGTAGGTCCAACCTGCATGCATTGTCTTCAAGCTACTCTGTCAGAGATCTGAGATGGGATCTCCTAGACAAGAGAAGGAGCCCATATTTTATGCTCTCACAGCGGTGCACTCAAGGTTCATAGCGGCAATGAACACTTGCAGCTATGACCTCATTTGCCAATACACACATGCATATTGTTAAGTGCTTCACCTCTACTTCCTGTTTCTGACCCCAAACACTGCCCAGATTCACTGCTACTAGGGTCACCAGTCACAGATCTGCTGTTAACTGTTTCACAGGAACTGGGTAAGAGGCACTACATGCCGCACAAAGGAGGCTATTGTTTGAGAAAAATCTAAGGGCCCGAGAGGGTGAGCACTGCCCTCCAAAGCGGCTTCCATTCCTCAGGGTCAGTGATCTGAGGCAGTCTAGCAGAGAAGGGAGTCTGAAGTTCCCGCAGGATTAATAATTGCGGTTAACAAAGGCAGTCTTAACTCTCCAGCAGCTTGGCATACACAAGGCAGTGTAAACAGCCATGTTTTAGAAGAGACATTTTTCTCCATCACATTGTCACTGGCTGCCTTGCACAACGGACTCTTCCCTCTTATATACCTTTCAGGTGCACTGAGGATAGGGAAGCAGGTGACATAGTTACCAATCTCCCAACATGAAATGTGGCAGGAAAATGAGAGCAGCAGGATGGGGCAAGGAAAGGGTGTGTTCTTAGGGAACGGAAGTGACGAGCAAGAGGGAAGTTCAAGAAAGTCAGCCAAGAGGACCCGGAATGTTAGCAAGAAAGCTTTTTCCATGGACAGGTTGCCTTTTAATTTTCCAAGGTAGGTAGGTAAAGGGCTACAATTATTAGATTTGTCCTAAAGTAATACAATCTGAAACTTTGGCTCACAAAGACTTTAATGCCCATCGATTTCCAAGAAATCTACTTGTTGCAGAGCAAGCTAAGGCTGTTGCTGAAAAAGCCTCATGAGTAGAGATCTGACAAACCACGACTATATCCACAATTCAGAGGATGCCATTTTAGTGTTCAAAAGCACTGTGGCATTCATCAACAGGCATTGAATGGTGACGCCTACTGCTATTTATGACACCTGCTCTATGTGGCTCGTATCTGTCCTGTACCAATTGTTAAATATCTTGAAAACCATCTCTGCATTAAAATGACAGTGGTCCTAAGAGGTAGGAAAGTATAGGGAAATGTAGGTTCTCTTCAATATCAAAGGTCTTCAGACTATGATTACATCAGTATACGTCGGGAGTCTAAGGAACGCAAAACGCAATAAAATGATCTAGCTAATTCTTCATCTGTGAAAAGAAAGCACACTAAGGGATCTTCTGTCCAAGGGTTGTCCCAGATGGAAAACTAGCATGATTGGAACTCTGGGTGTTAAAGGGCCTGCTAGTCACATTCTGTGCACACAGGGAGGTAAGGTCTATAAGCACTGGGGCTTAAACCCTTGACATTCATCGCAACATAGAAGGGAAAAACCATAAATGCACTTTTAAACAAGGTATCCAAATTGACTTCACCACTTACAGTTCATTTCTTAGCATGGCTTTTTACATCTGATAGCCAGAACTGCCAACTGAAAGAGATCCATGATGAAGAACCACATGGCCGAAGGTGGTTTGGTCCATTAAGCTGATGGTGTTCACTACTAAGGCAGCTAAGGAGGCAGTACAGGAGCACTTGCATCTCTTCAGGGTGGCATCACAATGTAGTCTCAAGAGACAGCAACAAGATGTCAAGAAGTCCCACAAAATGGCCAATAACAACACCATATCCCCCTTTCTACCCACAAAATGCTATCAAATCTTTCCTAGGTAGCTGGAAAACAGATGCTGTCGTAACAAACCTTCAGGTGAGGAAACCCTTCCTGGAATCTAAACTAACTTCTTCTGTAGCAGTTTAGGATCATTCTCTTACTCTAGTCCCAACAAAACTCAAGAGAAACTGCTCAGTCCTTCCTTACCTTGCTGACTTTCCCCTGAGCCTTTTCTTAAATAAGCTAAACACCTTCACTCTTATGCTCGGGCCTGCATCTTCCGAGGGTTGTACTGAATTGTGCTGACTGCTTCTAGGGAGTAAGGATGACCTCAGGTCAGAGGCATCTTACTGGTAAGCTGTGGTAGTGGGCACTGCTGATGCTCAGATGGACGACCCCCAGGTGGCAGACCTGCTACAGTATCTGGCCTGACTATCCCCTGCCCAAGTAGCCATAGAACTGAGGCCCAGGCTGCCTATGAGCCCGCAGAGAACGACAGACCCTGGAGCCTTCCCTTCTCTTGGTTCTCCTGCTAGTACCCTAAACCATCCTTCAGGAAGAGGGACCTCATGAAGGGCTCCTCAAAGACCCATATGGTTCCACAGGTCAACAGAGAGTTTCAGAGAAAATGTCTGAAAAATGGGAAGCTGGGCCTTTAATGGTGCTGTTCTGAAGAGAAAGAAGAAGTTCCAGTAGGAGGTGGTCTTCTGTGTCCACACTCCTATCGGGGACCAGCTGCTGCTATGCAGGTAGCTGGATGCCTCCAGATGCACACTGAGAGTGACGGAATGCTTCAGCGTGGGCATGGCTTTGAGATGACCAAGGATGGGCTGGACTCAGCCTGGCTTCTTCTGAGACACTCACCATTTTCTCACCAACCAGAACTTCCCCGAGGCACCTCATGGCCCAGATCTTCCATCCCAGTAAAGACTCTTAGTTGAAGAGACTGAAAAAGTGTTACAACGAGACAAAAAGGGAACACATGATTCATTCCTGCTTTTAACACAATACTTTGAAGATGTCACCACAATTTGTTTCTGGCTATATTTTAAGTTCATTTACAAGCAGACTAGTTCTCAACTAAAAATAATCATGTGCGTTATACATTTCGACAGCTGCCTGGATTTTCCTCTGAAAGAAGCAAGATTCTGTATTTCACTCACATTCAGCACAGATTTATTTTAACCCATTTGATGAAGAAGTAATCTACCACCCCATGCACTGGTGGCTGTGGCTTGGTAAAGCACTTCAGCTGCTCCTCAAGCAACCTTAGAATACTCATTTTACTGCTGATTAAATGGAATGCCGGAAATAGTGGCATGCCAGGCTACATCGGGGACTAAGAGCAGGACCAAGTTTCCTGATGCCCAGATTGCTTGTTTTTAACTAGAAATGCTATCTTCAATAAGGTCTCAGATTTTGCTTTCACTTATCTGATGACTGGAACTTAAATGGTGTTTGAGTTAAATTTGAGTTAAATTCAAGGAGTTTGGTCACACAGCTTCCTCAAGGCCAGCAGAGGTACTTTGAGTCCCTCCACTTCCTTGATTAGCCTAGCTAAAACTGATCTATGCCAGTAGCAACTTTCTGTTCAGAATAAGAAAACTGTCATAATTTGATATTTCAACACCCTTACTTGTGTTAATAGCATGCACACAGGCTTTTAAACAAGTGTCCAGCGTGTGTGGTTTCAATAACCAGAGATGACCTTTAGATTTTGAAATTAGACCTTTCTAGAAAGGGAATTAAGAGAACTAAACAGATAAAGCAGTTTACATTCCCAATAATTCGATCCTAACTTTGGAACCTACATAAACAGGCAACTCAAAACAGTCTGTCTCTTCAAATATTTAGAGATTGTTTTTCTTTTTTTCTTGGGCTTACAGCTTCCTGTGCAGTTAGCAGTAGTCTCAGAAGTGTTATTAGATAAATTCAATCTTGCAACTGAATATATTTTACCTTCCATATTATTGTCATTTTCAAAAACCAGAAGCAAATAAAAAGACAGAGTGACAGTTCTCTTTACCTTTTTTCCTTTGTATTTCCTGAATTTATGCTGAGAGCTCTCCAGACCGTGGTTTTAGGCATTTCATCTGATATATTAATCTCAGAGGGGTCACATCTGAAATCAAAGCTTAGGACAGTAAATATCAGTCATGTACATGAAGCGCACAGCTAGAAGAGCATGGCTACCATCCCACCAGAAGGGAAAAGAATGGCTTGAGGAAGCCAAGCTCACAGCTCTGGGAGCTCTGGCATCAGATGGAGTCTGGTGATTCTTTTCTGCAGCCTAGGAGGTCAGACCTACAACAAGGCAAGATGGCCTAAGAAAAGGTGCTGCGGGCTGAGTTCTGGGCCGACACCCCAAGTAGTGGTTGGGCCTTTCAAAGAGCTCACTGGAGATGATAATGACAGCAGTTTAAGGAGCTGCCACCCAGGGACTGCTTGCTGTGTGCCAGGCACCCTCGTTTATTCTCTTATTTACACAGCAAACCTCTTCCATTTGTAGTCCACAAGATTCCACGCTCTATTATCCTAACAATCACAGCAACAGAGATTAATAATTCTCATTTTGAATGTACATAATCGAAAGCTCACAAGGCTAAGTGCCTATCCCAAGTCAGACAACAGTAAATGGAGGACCAAGACCCTAAACCCAGTCTTTAGTCTTCTGAAGCCCTATGTAGCTGTGAAGCCATCCATAGCCCAGTCTCCTAAAACTCTAAGAGAAGAGACAGCATTCCACCAAAAAGGGAATGCTGGTCTCACTCTGCTGCCAGAGGGGTCAAATCTCTTTCATAACAATACATAGAAACCTTATTTAGGGACCAAAAAAAATATCTTCCTGATTTATCCACAGTATAAACCACAACCAATCTAATAATTCATCAGTTAATTCCTCTGGATCTAGACGACACAGATGTCTGGTCTTTCTGACCTCCAGGGTCCTTAGCCTGGAAATATCCAGAGTGGATAGAAGATGCTAGGGGCAAACCCACACATGGAGTGGTTTGTCTCCTATGATTTGAGAAGTGAAACAGGTTTGGTCAAGAAAGAGGCTAAGACACCAGAAGGCTTTCTGTGCTCCAGGATCAATATCCCCTTGACTCTCTGGACTATAGATGCTATGAGCTATGTTGAGAAAGACTGTCTCTGCCTGTCCCCAAAGGCAGGACCAAACATAGGAATCTCATGCCCACCAGGCTAAGAACTCTCTGGAAATGAAATCACATCCTCTTCATCTTTGGAGGGTGACAAAGAGCAACACCAGTTTGAGGACTAGAAAGATCCAGTTCAAGTCCTGATCTATTTATGTAGTAGCAATATATTCTTGGCAAATTACCTAAATTCCTCTAAGCCTGTTTCTTCCCTTATATATAGGTAGATAATGAAACTTAGCTCAGAACATTGTTACAAAGGTCAACAAGAACACAGGCAGGCCTTCCTGCACAGTCCAGGCACAGGAGAAGGCACTCAGGACATTGGCTCCCTTACCTTTCTTCTTGTGACTCCCAGTTTCTGACAGAGAGCTGGGCACACAGCACACAATGAAATGGGAAGGAAGTTCTACAAGTTGGAGCCAGGGGCCCTGTGTTTAGCTCCTATACCAGCAGCAACATTGTGATAGCACTCCACTACAAAGCCATAACAGAAACCCGAAGAGTAAGCTCTCTGGTATTTGTGGAGCTTTACCTGAAACTGTTCTTCTTTCCAGGGCTACTTAGTAACTTCCTGCTTTCAAGGGGGAACTTGTCACCTCCTATTTCCAACATTTTATCGGCCTCCTGGAAACAAAGGAGATATTATATCTTGGACCAAGTACGATCACTAGTCTTCTAACCACCATAAATTCTACATAGGTAATTCTCACTCACATTCTTATAATTAACTTCTTTCATAGTTTCAACACAAAAAGAGAGGCAATCAAGTAATAATACATATAGAGTAGTATAAAAACAACAATAACCAGAATGTGAGTAAGCTTCTAGAGATAATGACCAATTTACTAGAAACATATGGGACAGAACATGTTAATGACTCCAGAGAAGACACTTAGCAAGATTTGTCTGAGGAGAAATCCCAAGATCAAAGACCTGGTTTCCTACTGGAAAAAAGAAAGTCCTAAAGAGATCTGAAAAGATATCAGCCAACTACATTACATTCACTAGATACTGATTCAAATAAACAAGCTGGTAAAATAATAAAAGGGAGGGGCTGGGAGGATGGCTGATTGGGTAAAGAATCTGCTTGTGGACCCAAGTTTGGATCCCTAGGACCCACATAAAAAGTCAGACATAGCAGCATGCCTGTAATCCCAGGGCTAGAGAGGCAGAAACCGGAGGATCTCTGGGATTTGCTGGCGAGCTCCAGGTTCGATGAGAGCCCTATTTCAAAGAATAAGGTGGTGAACGGTCAAGAAAGGCATGTGATGTCACCCTCTGACCTACACACACACACACACACACACACACACACACACACCACACACACACACACACCACACACACACACCACACACACCACACATACACCACACCACACACACACACACCCCACACACCACACACACACCACACCACACACACACCACACCACACACACCACAAACACACACACACCACACACACACAATAGGGAAACTGGGGAAATAGTCTTCCTATTTTTATGTATATTTAAAATGTGCCATATGAAAAATTTCTTAAATATAATGCCATCACAGGACGATTGGGTGTTTGAAGCCAACCTGGACTATACAGTGAGCTTGAAACCAGGCTGGTCTACATAGTGAGACCCTGAGTTATTGAGTTAAATAAATAAGTAAATAAATATTCCTCAAAAAATAATTCCACTCATTAAAAAAAGAATAATTACATAGGGAGAAATGATACACAAACACGTTTAAAGTAGAACAACAAAACCTAAAAGAACTAAACATTTTAACAGAAGAATGTTTAAATTTTAATAATCAAATATGTAAAATACTATAAAATATAATGTAAACATAAGTAAAATAATTTTTGTCTAAATTGTGTATATAGCTTTGGGATAAATTTTATCCCATATTTTTCTGGGTCAAAAGGCATATATCATCTTCCTTTTTTGTTACAGGGTCTTGTGATGTTGTCCAGGGTGTTCTTGAACTCCTGAGCACAGCCTCACAAGTACTGGGAATACAAGTGTATGCCACAGCACCCAGCTAGGCATATATATTTTAAGACTCTCCTTTAAGTTGCTCTCTAAGGTGATGTAGCCAGTTTGTACCAGCACTTCAGTGTCTGTGAGGCCCATTTCAGACAGTGTCACTTGATAAAATACATGAATTTCAGGAGAGCCATAAGCTTCATTAGAAGAGGCCATAAAGACATAAATTCCTTAGAGTGGCTAACTGGCCCTAAATTGGCAGCCTGGCCTCACTCAAACCTTATCCACTGGTCACTCCCCAGACTGAGGCTGTTTGTGGAGCCTCCTGCCTGCCTGAGCACATAATCTTCAGAAAAGACACACTCAAGATCAACTGGACCCTGGTACAGAGTTAACGCTTGCAGCTGTGTACAGCAGAGTTCCTACATAAGACCAGACTTCTCCCTCTTCAGATCGCAGATAATCATTCCTCATGGAAAAGCTGTCAGCCCTTTGCCTGGCTTCCTAAATCCAGGGAGCACACTTCTTGCTTGTTGCAAGGCTGACTCTGAGTCTTATTTCTAAACTTTAAACTCCTTTATTTTTCTGCCCTCCTAAACCTAACATCACTGGCACTAATTCTTTTTACCTTTTAAACTTTTTGCCAGTTTGATAAGTGAAAAAATATATTCTGAGTCAGGTATCATGGCACAACTGCCTAATTCCAGCACCTGTGTGGCCGAGGCAGGAGGACCATAACTCAAGACAAGTCTGGGTTACACAGTAAGACCCTGTCTCCAAAAAAACATCGTCCTTGTTCAAATTTCCATTTTTTCAGTTGTTTCTAGTGAGAAAAAGAACTTTTTGTCACACAAAAGTTGTCTATATTTCTCCTCTTGCAAATTATCTTTTGCTAATTTTTGTTCTATTATTGTCTATTATTGTTTTTAATACTTTGGAAGAATTATTTGAATAGTAAAGAGACTAACATGTTTTAACTGTTACTTTACAATTTCACTTGGATACCTGAAAGTTTCTCTCACTATATAAATATAATAAATTCTATCAACATTCCCTTTAAGGTTTTCTTTTATTGCTTTTGAATTTAAATTTTTTAAGTTTATTTAACAATGTAAGATTTTTAAAAATTCAAGACATTAGGGAAAAAAGGCCTATTTTAGGGCATAGTTTGAAGGACACTATTTGGGGCAGTAATGGTATTTGGACACTCTCAGCCCGCTCGCTCATTTGTTGGTCTGGTTTCCACTTTGTCACATACAGTTTCTTTGCATGTTCAGGCCATTTATTTTAAGTGCTTCACCTCCACTCCGTTTCTGACCCCAAACACTGCCCAGCTTCGCTGCTACTAGGGTCACTAGCCACAGATCTAAGCAAGGAAATGGCAGGCCTGGGGTTGAGTGTTTCACAGAACTGCGTAAGAGGAGAGAGTGGGAATAGGGGATGGACCCCAGCACTACATGCCGCACAAAGGAGGCTATTGTTTGAGAAAAATCTAAGGGCCCGAGAGGGTGAGCACTGCCCTCCAAAGCGGCTTCCATTCTTCAGGGTCAGTGATCTGAATTGTGTGTGGCAAGGTGCCAACTGCTGAGGGAACTGAAGGATGGAAAGTCCCATGCAAGTTATCTCTGCATGGCACCAACTACAGCATCATCTGTGCTTGGGTACATAACTGACATTCAGAAGATAATGAGTTTTATATGCTTGTCAAATTAGATCTTTTGGAAGAAGAGGAGCCATCAGATCTGAGAATAAGAACAGACTCTACGTTAATATTCTAGTGTAAGCCTAGAAAACAAAAGGAAAAACTACTGGTAATCATATCCCCCTAAGGGCAGATGTGAGGGAGACTCTTTCACAGTCCTTGTCAGCTGAGAGCACTTGGAATGATACTCCCAGCCCCCAAGTGTCCCAGGATTGCAGACCTGCAACTTTACATGTGGCCCCCCTCCATCTGTAACCTGAGGCCCGAAGTGTGCAGCTGCACACAGCTCCAACCTCTTGTCTCTTAGCCTTCTTTTTGGCGTCGTCCAACTTCTTCTTTTTGCTTTCAGGCATGAGATCATCCAGCCAGCTCAGCTCACGCTTGGAGAAGCAGAGATCCATGACTTTCCTGACAAAAACCAAAGCTAAGACCTGAAGAAAAAGAGTTAAGTTTAAGGAGTGAGCTTCCTTTCTGGAATTAAAAGCAAAACCTTATTTTCACAGCAGTCCAGGGCATGTCGCGTGAAACCAAAGTCATGATACTCGACAGCTGCCACTTACTGAGTGTCCTCTGTGTCAGCATTGAGGCATTTTATACAGAGTATTTTAATCATCACCACAACCTTATAAGTTAGAAAGCAACTAACTTAGTTCCTCATTGAAAAGGGAAGCCTATCCTCTGCAGATGGCCCCAACAGCAGCTTTTCCTTGGTTTAGGGTCAGCAGGAAGGGCTACAGGACAGCACGGAGATGGGGAACTTGCAGGAGGAGCCATGACAGGCCAGACACACCCAGCCCAAAGCTTACCATACGATGGCAGGACCTTGGAGGGCCATCTTTATTCCCTCTGATCCTCTACCTGTACATGCCCCCCCCCCCAAATCTTTGCTTTATATCTGCATCATGCATCTGTAATGGCTTTCACTTTTGCCCTCTGGCCTAGCCTGATACTCACTTTATAGGTGAGAAAACTGAGACACAGAGAGAGAGAGAGGAAGTAACACAGCTAAAATCTGACAGTTAATTTCCCCCAACAGAGCTCACACCAACCTATGTCTATGTCGGCTGCTCCACTCTTTCCACGAAGATCATTTTAGCCAAAAAGAACCAAACAATAACCCAGAATGACCAGCTAGGTCAAATGCTGCTCACTGGGTGCATTTGGTGGCTGGATAAGGAATGAGGCAAATGAGGGGCATTAAAATCCAACCACATTTCTTTCCAGTTTTAATGGCTACTTTCTGAATAAGATCCCAAACTGCTATGAGTTCCAAGGAATTTGCTAACTCTTTAACAAAACAATTAATCCACAATATAAATGAACAGAACACACAAATGCAGAACCTACATATATTTTACACAAGAGTCAACACTGGAAGGAAGCAACCCAAGTATCACCAGAGATGAATGGAACAGCAAATACAGTCTATACATACAATTAAATATTATTCAACTCTACCAGGGCGAAGTGGCTTGAGCTTTTAATCCTAGCACACAAGAGGCAGAGGTAAACAGATCTCTGTGAGTTCAAGGCCAGCCTGGTCTACACAGTAAGCACCAGACCAGCTGGGGCTACTGGGAGACCCTGTCTCAAAAAGACAAAAAAACAACAACAAAAAAAACAAAACAAAAACTCAACCCTAAAAACGGGAATTCTAACACATGCTACAACGTGGATGAACCTTAAAAAGAGGGTGCTGGGTGAAATAAGTTGGTATTCTATGACCCACTTACCTGACACACCTACAACAAAAGTCACAGAGACAAAGTCTCCGAGACAAGAGGAACTGTGCTTTGACTATTTATTTATATAAATTGTTTGGATTTTTGATTTTTATTTTAGGTGCATGAGTGTTTTGCCTGCATGTAAGTACACTCATGTTGTGCGATACCGGCAGAGGCCAGAAGAGAAAGTCAGATTCCATGGAGCTGGAGTTAAGGATGGTTAGTTGCCATGTGGGTGCCGGGGTCTGAGCCTAAGTCTTCTACAAGAGCAGCCAGTGTTCTTAACTGCTGAGCCATCTCTCCAGCCCCAAAACTGTAGTTTCTTACCAGTTTGTAGGAAGGGAAGAGTGTGGAGATATCATTTATTGGGTTTGGAGTTTGCAAGATAAGAGTTCTAGAGATGGATGGTGGTAATGGCTCCACAATAATGTGTGTATATTTAATGCTACTCATCCATACACCTAAAAATGGTAAAAATATGAAATTTTCAGACAGGGTTTCCCAGTAGCCCCTGCTGGCCTCGAACTCACTATGTAGACCAGGCTGGCCTTGAACTCACAGAGATCTGCCTGCCTCTGCCTCCCGAGTGCTGGGATTAAAGGTGTGCGCCATCACGCCCGGCTGTTATACATATTTTACAACTAAAAAAAATAACATTAGTAACTTTTATTAAAATAACCCTCACCATCATCGGGAAAACAATGGCAGCTGGTGATGCCTTGATAACCCAGAGCAGGACGAGGCAGGTGAGCTGGATGAGGGTGAAGAGGTGCACTTTGCGCAGTGGCACGTGCCGCAGGTAGATGAAATCTGGCTGGTGCTTTGCAGGCATTCCGAAGAGTTTCAGACGATCAAAGAACTGAAAGGAGGAGCTGGCATTGGTTTCTGGAGGCTTCTCCAGTCAGAAGAACCCTTGCTAGATTCTGTTCATATCCCTTAATCTCCTGCTCTGAAAAGCAGTCAATACTAGACAGACATGGAAACTGAGTTTCTAAGACAACAGGAAATTTGGCCAGTGTCAGTAAATGGCAATCAAGATATAAAACCATCTTTTCCAATTCCAAGTTCAAATTTCTCTCTTCTCTCCCACATTTGGGGAGCCTTTCTGGTCAAGACAACTAAACTCAGTGAGAGGCATTGTGCCGGCAGAACTATACAATACCTGAATTCCCTGTAGGGAAGAAACACCCATGTAGAGGAAAACTCCATAGAGCACTGGCATCGGGATGAACTGCAGATAGAAGGGCAGATGTGAGATTTGATATCCCAGCATAGTTTACATGTATATAAAATACTAACCCTCCAAATTCCATAAATAGCTTCACAAATACTGCATTAGTTTCTGCTGCCTTTTCCTGAATTAGAAGCAAAGGTAGAAGCTAGTGATAAAGATTTGAAAGGAAGTGATTCCCTGTAAGTTACATCACAGGTCTCATGTCTCCCCATGCCTGGCTCCTACTCCTCCCTAGATGGGAGTACACAGATGGACACACACACTACTTCTACTGATATCTTTATTCAATTTTTGAGACAGGGTCTCACTATATAACTCTAGCTGGCCTGAAACTCACTTTTAGACCAGGCTAGCCTCAAATCCACAGAGATCCACCTGCCTCTGCCTCCTGAGTGCTGAGCTTAAAGGCATGTGCCACCACACCCAGCTACTGATATCTTTTAAATCTCTAATCATAACCATTTCCTCAAGGATTTAGTGTATTTTGACATGGACAAAAAACATTTCTTTGTTACTGACCTGAGATTTGAGGGTGGCAGAGAGGATATTAGGACAATATTATATCCAAACAACACTTTAATGTAGCCTTCCTATCTCATCATGTCTATCAAACTAGATAACAATCTTCACACAATTATGAAATAGAGAAATGGCCTTCTGGAGTCAAAACAAGCCTCACAGCTGTAGATTAAACTAAAAAAAAAAAAAATTTTCCCCTAGTCTGGCCTCAAACTTGCTACATAGACAAGGGTGTCTTTAACCTTCTGACCTTCCTACCTCCCACCTCCCAAGTACTGAGGTGCCACCCTGCCCAGTTTATACGGTGCAGAGGATCAATCCCAGAGCTTGGTGCTTCTACATAAGCACTCTACCAACTGAGCTGCATCTCCAAGCCCTCGATTTGTTGTTATTCTGGGGCTAAAGAACATCTCCAAATATAATTCCTCTCAGAGTTAGAAGGTCCACATTGGATTTTACACTGTTCCTACTCTAGAGCGACTAGTCATCCCAAGTTGGTGACAACTCTGCTTTCAGTAATCTTGAGTGGTATTTGTGCTGGTTGTGCCTTACTGTCAGCCTGACAAAACTTACAGTGACTTGGGAAGAAAAAATGTCAGTTGAAGAATTTTCTTGATCAAAGTAGCCTGTGGGCATGTCTATGGGGCACTGTCTTGATTGATGACTGATTTAGGAGGAACCAGCCCACTGTGGGCGTCACCATCCCTAGGCAGATGGGCCTGGGCTGTATAAGAAAGCTAGCTGAGGGGCTGGAGAGATGGTTGAGCCGTTAAGAGCACCTGACTGTTCTTCCAGAGGACCCCAGGTTCAGGTCCCGGCACCCACATTGTGGCTAAACACGTGTCAGTAACTCTAGTTTCAGGGGATCCCACACATTCTTCTGGTGTCTGTGGGCACCAGGGACATACATATAGGCACATTTGTGTAAGGGCAGCAGAAATGAATGCAATGCACTGAGCCTTTTCTTCTTGAGTCACATTAAGCCTCCATATTGCTAATTCTAGTGGCCTTGATTTAGTCTCCATCTTTCTAGGCAGTTTTAAAAAATATATTTTATTTATTATTTTTATTTTTGTATGAGTGTATTTTCTTGCATGTGTACAAGAGCACCCATGTTGTGCAATGCCTGTGGAGGTCAGAAGAGGGCATCAGATTTCTCTGAAACTGGAGTTACAGATGGTTGTTAGCTGCCATGTGGATGCTGGGAATCAAACCTGGGTTCTCTGCAAGAGCAGCCAGTGCTCTTAACTACTGAGCCATCTCTCCAGTTCCATCTAGACAATTTTTAACTTGTTCTTCCTTTTTGAGACTGGCCTCCCAGATACCATGCCTTCTTGGTCTCTCTTGTTTCCCTGGCAGTTTCCTCTGAGTCTCTGCTGCTGTCTCCCCGCCAACCTAGCCCCTGAACTCTACGCTTCTCTCTAATCCCCCTTCTCTTTTATAATTACCCTTCTTCCCCATGCTCTCCTCTGTCCTTCTGGCTTTCAGTGCCATGTAGGTGTTGTTGGCTACCACATTTAAGAGCCTAGAGTCTCTTCACTCAGGTGACTCGAGGTTTTACACTCAAATGCGGATCTCAACCCAACCCCTCATAAAATCAAAATGCAACCATCTCCATCTTGGTTAAGTGCCATCTTTTGAGTCAGAAGCTGAACAGGCATCTTCAACAATCAGTTCCATTTCCCTTATCTGCTTCCACATCCAATCAGCAAGATCTTGGGATCTGCCTGCCTGTAAGATGCACATATCGTACAAACCTGACCTGCCCTTGCTATAGCCTTTCTCATCCAAGCCTCCTCTTTCACCTTAAAAGCCTCACTGGTCTGTGTCTATTCTTCCTGTACCCTCAAAACTTGTTCTCTAGACATAAGCAGAGTGATCTGTTTCAAACACTAGCTGGATGTGTCTCTCTTTTGTTAAAATCCCTCAAAGGCAACTTTTCCAAAAATCTACAAAGCCTCCTTGATCATCTCATCTAACTGGGCTCTTGTCTTTACTCAGCCCCCGAGAGCCACATGATCCTACCCTAAGAGTCTGCCTCAGCTCTTCTTCTCCCCTCTTTCAATGCCATGGCCCACCATCTACGGTTGTTATCTGAGATAAAATCTTCCATCTTGACACAGGGTGTTCTAAGGAAAGATGAAACATCCCACCCTTCAGGAAATCTCCTCAAGCTGAGGAAGTAAACAACTCAAAGCCTTTAGGAAGTCCCTGAAACTGGCTAGATATACTAGATCCCTCCCTCCTCAAGCCTACAGAAGCCCTAAAGGCTGAGAGACACTCTCAGACAAGCTAAGCTGCCTGGAAGAGGCTCAGACTACCTGTACTGCCCAAAAGAAACACTCTAACCAGTCAAGCTACCTGAAAGTTGTGCAGTGTGCTTCAGGTTTCTGACTTTTGTGAGCTGTCGCCCACGCTGGGGTGGGCTTTGGTGATGCAGTTGTATTTGAGTAATTTCCGTTCCTTTAAGTAGCTCCCTGCCCACACTCCTGTAGGTCCAAGTAACTCCAGTACAATTCACCAAGATGGACTTCGGTGGTGTCCTTACTTTGGTCTGTTGTTAGTTCCCTATTCTGGAATGAGTAGACCTTTGTTCACATCTCCCCAAGAACAGTGTCATACAAAAATGGTAAGACTGGCTCCATCTTATGTTCTCAGAGAGGCTAACCACTGTAAAACAAAGCCGCCTAACTGTAGTACCAGAGATACCATATACTCCCACTGTCTCACTTAGTACATTCTGAATTATTGCATTTGTTTCCTTAGTTTTCTTAAGTACTTATTAACTGTCTTACCCACTAGAATATGTTCTTCCACGGCAGGAATTTGTATGTGTATGTCTTTGATATCACTGTATTCCCAGCAGGATTCCTGGCACAAAGACCCCCAATATTTGCCTGGCATGCACATGAACAATTACCTTTAAGACAGCTGTCATGAAGACCGAGCAGCCCATCAACAGGAAGATCATAAGGCCTGTCACTCTCTGCTCTCGGATGCCCAAGAACTTGGGTTGTTCTCCAGGAGCAGAGCACTCAGATTCCAGCTTGAGGCTATTCACATGTGTGATGGACAGGACAGTTGCAGCCACAAACCAAGGCAGCCCCATGATGGAGCAAACACCCAGCATGACGGCCACCATCAGCAGGTCCAGATGGTAGCCACAGCCTTTCTGTGAGGGAAAAAATAGTCACCATCGGTGAGCTGGCTGTAGTGGGCATAAAACAGCGAGATAGGGCTTCAGGCTCAAAGCTGGAAGGGCTGTAAGGAAGACGGGATCCAGAGAATTCTTACAGCTCCTCCTGGTTGGGAGGGAACAGAGAATGTAGCCTGTCCTATATATACCAATATGTACTGTTTATCCCAAATCTCTCTTTCTCTGGAAGAGTACCCAGAGACCACACTGCATCTTGTCCACTCTAGGAGACACTACAGATGAATGATTTTATTGTTTCCTGTGACACAACCCTTGTCCTTACCAAATATGGATGCTGCCTACTCTAAGAAAGGACAGAGAAGGAAGGCATGCAGCATCTCACGTATGCATCCGTACTAATCCTAGTCTTAGTAACCCTTAAGCTCAAGATTCATCTAGAAACCTAGTGATGGACACGAAAGAGAGAATACCTGACCCTAGGAAACAAAGCTGAACCAAGTCCTAACCTGAACTTAGGAAGACAGGCTGAATAGCTGTTGGCTCACAGCATGTAGGGACCACCAGGACCCTGTCCACCCACCTCCATACAGGTTTGATTGAGGAAGAGTAATGGAGTCCAGGTTCCTTTCACAATATTCCAGCATGTTCCACTCTAGCCCAAGTTACAAACCAATCTGTTATTAATGGCAGACAATGAGCATTCTATCTTTGACTTTTTGTCCAGGTTCTACCGGCCCTGGTATAGATGGGTTTACCCTAAAATAAAAGGACTGGTTGTCATTTCACCTTCTAGGTCAGAACTTGTTACCTTGAGCTTATGTTCCTTCCTGTTAATGATGACAGCAGTGATTTGCTGGTCCATGAATATCAAGATAGTGCACAGAAGAGCGGGGATAATGGCTGCTATCACAGTCCACCAGGGATTGGGGCCAATGGGACTAATAAACCATCCTCGATCATCCCTTGTTGGCTAAAGGATAAAAACAACACATTATTTTTCTATTTTAAGTTAACTCTAGTGTTGGGGCACACTAAGTCAAACTGAGTCATGATACTACTTTTCTTTTTATCTTCATTTAAACAGAAATCCTTAAAAAGAAAAAAAAAAAAAAGCATGAAAGACAGCGACCCCTAAGAAAAGCTCTGACCTCTCTCCCAAATCCTCAATTATCAGCTTCCTGTGCAATATTCATTCATCCTACATTTCCTTCCATTATTCCCCAAGTCTCTAGGCACAGAGAAAGCAACTTCATCTCAATATCACCTAATAAACCTAGCAACTAAATCTGCTGTTAAAAAAATTAATGACTCCCAAAGACATATGTAAATAATGCAAACTATCTTCCTGTTCCTCTCCAGAAGCCGTGTACTGTGTGTCTACAGCACAAATGAAGGCCAAATGGAGGCAGTCACACGTACCTGTTGGGCTCAGACTGGACTGTTCCAGGAGCCCTCTCCCATGAAACAGCAGCCCAGTGCTGAAATAGGGCCCAGGAACCAGAGACCCGAGGAGGCCCAAAGCTGCTAAACTTGGGAATCCCTGACCTAGAACCCTCTCCAATGGCTTTATATAAGCCATTTGTTTGCAACTCTCAACCCTTACCTCTAGTGTACTCTGAGGAAGACAAATGATTCTAAAAGATAAAAGGCCATGGATATCTCAGGCCAAAATGACCCAAAGTCAACAAATAAAGCAAAGACTGCTATATTTGAAGCATTTGGTTCTACATTAGCTGTGATTCTTGGGTTCAAAATCTCTTCAATAACACTGAATGGGTTAAATTCTAAAAGCTTTAGAACCCATGTTTTCTTAGTAATAATATTCTAGGTATCTGGGAGGGGGGGTGGTTCCTGGCTTGGCAGTTAACAGCACTGGCTGCCCTTGCAGAAGACCCACATTCGGTTCCTAGCACCCACATGGCAGCTAATAATTGTCAGTAACTCCAGTTTCACGGAATCTGACACCCTCTTCTGATCTCTGAAGACAGTGCACGACACGGTGCACCTACCTACATGCAGGCAATACACTCATACACATAAAATAATAATAAAATATTCTAGGTGGTAGTTAAGTTCTTAGACCACATAAAAACTTATTCAGGCTTTAATAACATAATAGCACAGCCAGGCACCCTATATCTGTGGGTTCACGCTGTATCTTTAGATTAAACCAATCGCAGATTATAGATATTGGGGGTACTATTCTCCAAGACAAACCTTTCTGTCTTGGAGGGAAGTTTGGTAAACAACAGGATGTTCTGGAAGTAAAACAAGATATTCTAAAAGAAGTAAACAGCTCAGTAGGGAAGTCCCAGAAGTTGGCCAGGCTCACTAGGTCCCTCCCTCCTCCAAGGATATACAAGCCCTAAGGACTGCTGACAGACACTCTCAGATAAGTCGAGCAGCCTTAGAAGAGGCTCAGACCAGCTGAGCTTCCCAGAAGAGACACTCTTCACCTGTCCAGATGCCTGCAGGTTGTGAAGTACACTCTAGCTCACCAGCTTTTGTGAGCTGTCACTCATGCTGAAGGGTGGGCTTTTGGTGATATAGCTGTCGTTGAGTAATTTCTGCTCCTGTAAGTAACCCCTCACCCATATTTCTGTAAGGAACTTCAATATAACTCATTGGCTCACTAAGATGAACTTCACTGGTGTCCTTACTTTGGCCTATTGTTGGTTCCATGTCTGGAGTGAGTACAGGTTTGTTCACATCTCCCCAGGAATAAAAATGCCTCTAAACTAGACACAGACTATTGTGACTGTTCTCTAAACACTACAGTGTAACAACCATTTACATTGTATTAGGTATTATAACTAATCTGGAAATGGTTTAAAGTATACAGGAGCTTGTATGTGGACTACGTGTAAGTGCCACAGCATTTCATTTAAGGACTGGAGCACCGGATCCTGGGGGTCTTGGAAGCGATCCCCATGGATGTGGACAGACAGCTGCACTAGCCTTCAGACTGGTCTTCGGGGCTGGGGAGTAGCTGGCTTACTAGAGCAGGGAAGATGGAAGAGGAAGAAAGCTTGCTCTCTGCTTCCTGAGCCAGTCCTGCCATTGGCAACGTTTGCTTGGCTGTTCTCCCATTTCCTTCCTTGTTTCTCTCAACCTTCCAGAGAGGTCTTCCCAGATGTCCCAGAAATCCAGTGCCTATCTTAAGCCAAGAAACGTTTCCTAGGACGGCTTAATGCTCTAAACTTCCTAGTTTTATACAAAATCCATTTGACCTGCAGGGATGAACTCCTCATACTTTGCAGAGAAAGCTGATGGTGCTCAGTCACACAAGGATGAGAATACCCAGCTCTGGGAGGTGTCATACTTATAGAGTGTATTTGCTAGCCCACAGTTTTCTAACTGATGGCATTTTAGCAAGTTTAGCAAGATTAAACAGACAAAATGGAAAGAAAATGTTTTTAAAATAGGCCTTTTTCCAGAAGAGAGACATTAAGAAGCCAATAGCTAATGACATGGATCAAAGACGGCCTCTTCTCCTAACTTCTCGACATCCTCTCTCCCCTATTCTGTGACTCTTCTAAAGTTACTGAGTATGCAGTCCTCTCCACCCAATGAGCATCTGTGGAACTGAGTCCAACTTTTCAGGGTTCCTTATCTACTCATAACCCTTGAATTAAAATACATTTGGGATCCCAATGATTGGCCATTATTTTAGTTCTTATATAAGTTTTTTGAAAATTACTACATATTATCAAACCTTATATAGGCAAACACAAAATAGAGTTGAAAAGATGTCCTATGACTCAGCAGGAACCCTAGACTCCAACAAGATCCCTCCTAGGTCATTTTACTCCTTCCCAGTGCCCTAAAGCTACAGTTCAGTGAAGGTGGTATTAATCAGGCTTCTTCCAGGGACCATCTTTCTAAGCTATCTGGTAAGTATTTATGTAAACAGGTACTTTCCACTAATCTCAATCTTAGCAGTAAGTATACTCATGGCAATAAACATTCCATTCATTTACTAAACAGCCTCTGAAATCGACTTGAGATCAGATCCTATGAAACTTCATGCTGGCATCAAGCTTTCTGAGATCTACTTACTTTGAACACACTGGGTACCTGAAGCTTTGGTGATGGGACGCCAATCAAAAAGTCAATAATCACCATCGTGAAGATAGTGAGGAAGACAGCAAAGTCACTCACCATGGAGCGTACCTGGCATGAGAAAGAATCGGAACACTGCTCTAGAAGGTTCAATACAGGAAAAGAAGTTAGCTTTGTAAAGTAATGTATGTAGCAAAAACTACAATTTTGCAGTTAATACAAAAAACATTTCAGCAGCATGACTATATTAACATACTCAAATTAATGTCTGTAAATGTGGACCTAGGAAGGACGAATGAATCTCTGACAAACTCCAACGTAGTCATGACCAACATCCAAGGAGCAGTTTGGGGCATGAGGCCCAGGTTGATTTTCTGCGTATGGCCAAGGTCTATACTACTAGCCAAGACCTCAGCAGTAGCAGTTCTACTTCTCCCTCACACCCTGTATCCAATCCACCCACAAGGCCCATTGGGCCAACATCCAGAATCTGAGCACGCCTCACCACCTGAACTGCTCCCCACTCAGACCAGAGTCACTGCCAGCTCTTGCTGGGCGACTGCCTCTGCCTTTACCCCCACAATCTTTTTAAAACATAGCTCCTGGGATAATAATTTAAAATAGGTTGAATCATATCTCTCTTCTACCAACACCCTGAAAGAGCTCCTTGTTTCACTGTTAAAAACCTCAAGGCTCTCCTCCCTGTAAGGCCCACACAAGTGGCAAAATCCTGTCCACTTCTAATGTTCCGAATGCAGTCATACCCATTTACTCTGCTCCAGCCACACGGGACCCCTTGCTTGCCTGTTTGTCCTCCCTTTCCCCTTCTCCCCTTTCCTGTCCCCCCCTTCCTCCCTCCTTCCTCCCTTCATTAGTTTTCCTTATTGTTTCTTAATCCAGCCCCTCTTACTCTGAGTTCAGAGCCTTTGCACTGGTTCATCCCTCTCCCTGAATGTTTTCCTTCGAGGTAACCACTGGGTAACCTCCCTACCTCTTAGAGCTTAACTCAAATACCCTTCTTTGTGAGATTTTCTTGAAGGAGGATAAAAAAAACAGGGAAATTAAGGGGACACTGGAAGTAAAAGAAGCCCCTCACTATGGAATCCGGCTGGGAGGAAAAAAACTTCAACACAACTGATAGAACTGAAATTATTTCAAGGGTGTTAAAAACAACAAACTAGGGGGCTGGAGAGATGGCTCAAGGGTTAAGAGCACTGGTTGCTCTTACAGAAGACCTGCGTTCAATTCCCAGCACCCACATAGGAGCTAACAACTGTAACTCCAGTTCCAGGGGAACTGATGTCTTCTTCTGACCTCTGCAGGAATCACATGGCACAGGTGCACCTACCTACATGCAAGTAATACACTCATACATAAAAATTTATAAAATATTAAAAACAAACAAAGAGCAAGGTGCCCAATGTGGAGGCAAACACCTTTAATCCCAGCACTCAGGAGGCAGTGGCAGGCAGAGCTCGGTGAGATTGAGGACAGCCTGGTCTACATAGTGAGTTGGAGCTACAGGGAGACTGTCTGAAAAAACAAAAACAAAATAAAAACACCAAAAGAACAATGTTTATTTAATGTCTGAGTCTTTGTGGCTTTGAATTTACATCAGTGCTCCTATTCCAACCCTAAATCTAAACAATACCGGATAAAACCACCTTATAATTTCATTTGTAAAAGAAAATTCTTTAAGAGAAATAAGTAATCAGCTTATTTATTTGTGTTTGGTGTGTGGGTACATGTACCTGTAGAGAGCCAGACATCAACCTTGGGTATCATCCTCAGAAGCACCATCTACCTCTGAGACAGTCTCTCATTGGCCTGGAGCTTACAGCTAGGGTAGACTGGCCAGCCAGCGAGCCGGGGATGCAACTTGTCTCCACCTCCCTAGCACTGTGGTGACAAATGTGAGCCATCACGCCCGGCTTTTGACTTGGGTTCATGTTCTTTTTTTTTTTTTTTTTTTTTTTTTTTTTTTAGGGTCTCCCTGTAGCCCCAGCTGTCCTGGAACTCACTATGTAGACCAGGCTGGATCCTTCTGTCTCTGTCTCTGTCACCCCAGTGATGGACTAAGCATGAATCTCTTTACCAGGCCTTTTTGTGTGGGTTCTGGAGGACAGAACTCAGGTCTACCAGGGCCTTATGTTTGTAAGGCAAGCACTTTACCAGCTAACTATCTCCCCAGTCCCCTAGCTCATATATTTTTCATTATTTTTTAAACTTTGCTTGATCTTTAAACCTTGTAAATCACATCTTAGAGCACTGTGACTTAAGACACAGACTCAGCAAAGGCAGTTAAATGTGACTCTCCCTGTTGAGAAGGCCATACTCATGTCTTCGTGTGTACTTTGCTGTCTTTTTCCTATATGACTCTAAGTACTTAATATACTGCACCCCCCCATTTTGTTGTATTCTGGCTTGTCCTAAAATTCTTTTCTGAGACATAGTCAAGGATCTGGCTTTAACTGAGGTCCCTACAAGGAAAACTCCTCAGGCTACTGGTGGCTGTGTAGGTCTGAGTCTCCCCACCGCTGCTGCTAATCTCTGCTGATCCTACTTAAAACTGACCATTGCCCCATGTACTTCTTGTATTTCTTTCCTGCTTCATTTTCTTCAGTAATACTTATTTCCATTTTTACGGATTCCCATCTAATTGAAGACCTGCCCTGAGAGGACAGTCCTATTTTATTTTAATTTTAAAATATATTATTATAGCCGGGCATGGTGGCGCACGCCTGTAGTCCAAGCACTTGGGAGGCAGAGGCAGGTGGATCTCCATGAGTTCCAGGCCAGCCTGGTCTACATAGTGAGTTCCAGGCCAGCTGGGGCTACAGGGAGACCCTGTCTCAAAAAAGACAACCCCAGCTGGCCTGGAACTCACTATGTAGATCAGGCTGGCCTTGAACTCACAGATATCCGCCTGCCTCTTGCCTCCCGAGTGCTGGGACTACAGGCGTGCACCACCATGCCCAGCTTTATTTTATTTTTTTATATTTTACATAAATGAGTGTATTGCCTACATATACATAAGTGCACCTGTGTTGTGCAATGCCTGCGGAGGTCAGAAGAGGGCATCAGATCCCTTGGAACTGGAGTTATGGATGGATGGTTGTTAGCCACCACATGGGTGCTGAGAATCAAACCCAGGTTCTCCATGGTTTTGTTCTTCTCCAAATGTTATATATGTTCTCTGAAGATCCATCCCCTCACCTGCATCATGAAACCCACCCTCACTCTTCTGGGGACTAGGTGCTCCTTCTTCTCTCCTGAATTCCTAAGGCAACTACTTATCTGCTTTTGCATATGGCGCCAATGGGCTCATGTGCTTTCCGTTCCTATTCACTGGCAGATACTATCTTCTTTTGTTTTTGGTTTTTTGTTGTTGGTGTTTGTTTGATTTTGGTCTTTTTTGAGACAGGGTCTCCCTGTAGCACCAGCTGTCTTGGAACTCACTATGTAGACCAGACTGGCTTTGACCTCACAGAGATCCTGCCTCTGAGTGCTGGGATTAAAGGTATGTGCCACCACACCCAGGTAGTTTGTTTGTTAAATACTATTTTTATTTTATGTGTATGACTGTTATGCCTGCATACATCCAAGTGTGCCCATGTCATGCAATGCCCACAGAGGCCAGAAGAGGGCATTGAATCCCCTGGAATTGCAGTTACTGACAGTTGTTAACCACCATGTGGATGCTGGGAACCAAACCTGGGTCTTATGCAAGAGTAGCCAGTGCTCTTAACCACTGAGCCATCTCTCCAGCCCATTTTTAAAAAAAATATTTTATTTATTATTTTTATTTTATGTATGAATGTACTGCCTGCATGCATGCAAGTACACCTGTCATACAATGGCCATGGAGGTTAGAAGACAGTGTTAGATAGATTCCCCTGGAACTGGAGTGTTTTTAACTGCTGAGCTATTTCTCTAGCCCCCTGGTTTGTTTTTTTGTTTGTTTTGTTTTGAGACAAGGTATCCCTGTAGCCCCAGCTAGCCTGGAACCTACCAGGCTATCCTCAATTTCAAAGAGATCCACCTGCCTCTGCTTCCTAAGTGCTGAGATTAAAGGCGTGTCCACCCTGCCCAGTCAGATACTGTCTTTTACAAATTATTTTAAAATTTATTTATTTGTGTATATGTGGATCATTGGATCATGCATCATGGCACATGCAGAGGTATAGGACAATTTGTGGAAGACATTCTCTCCATCTACCATGGGGGTCCTGGGGTTCAAACTCAGGTCATCAGGCTTGACAAGTGCCTTTACACAGTAAGCCATATCACTGCCCCTGCAGATATCTTTAGATTATCTTTTAACTTTTATTTGTATCACCAATAGAACTTAAACGCCTGAACAACTAGTCAGGATCTAGCAGCCACTTGTTAATTCTTCATTCAGATAGAAAACAAAGATTCTGAACTTATTTATTTAATATGTGCTTCCCTTAACTATTATGCAGGCTCAGTAAAGTCCAAGATTGGGTTTTAGTTATAGGTGTGTATATAGTAAATAATCAACTGAGCTTCCCTCCCCCATTCATGTATTTTGATTTGAATGTGCCTGAATGAGAAACCTCACAGAAGTGATGGCCCATGCAGCTGCTCAAATTCAGGCCCCAGTTCTGCTCTGCCTGAACTGGAAGAAGCTCTGTTCATGACACAAACAATACTATCTTCATCTTGAGGTTTCAAACAGTCAGAGAGAGAATCCAAGTCAAAGACATTTTGGATGCTGCAGTCAGTGTAGTCAGAGATTTTATAAGCTATTGCAAGAGCCATCCCAGGGAGGGGACTTTGGGGTTCTCTGGAGTATCCAAGATAATTATTCCAACTAACCATCTTCACAAGATTATTCTGTTATGTGCTAAGTGTCCCGGAATTCTGGACATGAAACTTAACAGTGTTCTGGAGACATAACTTTTAGGGAACATTACCACCACCTTAAACTTACCTGTTCCTTTGAAATCAAAAAGGTTTCAAGCATGCTCATTCCACACCTCAGAGCTCTGAAAGAGGCTGCCAAGCACTAGAAGAGGCTGCCATAGTATAGCTCATCAGGACAGCTGGTGCCCTCCCTCCATACAACCAATCTCCACAGCAGCACAGAGGTTGAGAACAGATGCTGCTGTGCTGTTACAATCCTAACACAAAAGGAAGGCATGAGCTTGCTACCTACTCTGGTTGGGAAATAGCGGCTCGTCTTAAATGTCTTTAAGGTGCTTGAAAGGATGAAGGTGGTGAAGAAGAGAATACAGGACCAAAAGAGCACATCAGGAGTGTAGGGTCCATGATGACCACATGCAGATCCCATGAACTCTCCATGCATCGCCTGGCATTCCTGGAGGAACAAGCATTCTGGGTGACAAAAGGCAGGCACACAGGAACGAACAGCTGCTGCCTTCTGAGTCTACCACACACTACCATCCCACAGTGCTGCACAGCACAGGCTGCCAGCGGTGTCCACTTGACTACTATGCACTTGGGGGCTCGTACCAACAGGTCCTTTCAAGAAGAATTCTGTGTGGTCCTAACCAAGATACTTAGGAATGAAACTAGAACGGTCCCGAGAAACACTTCTCCAAAGGTTCTGGGAAGGCCTTGGAGATTTCTATTGTTTTTACTACAGAGGACCTTCCAAACTTAAATATTCTTCAAGCTCCACAAAACCCAGATCTGCCCCCTGCCCAGCACAGTTTTACTACATATCCTTAAGTGAGGGTCACAGATATGGCACATGGTGGGCAAAGAGAGGAATGGAAAGAAAACTTTTGAAAGGGAAAAATTAGAATATTTGGGTTTATGTCGGGTGTGGTGGCTCACATCTACAGTCCCAACACTTGGGAGGGAGAGACAGGCAGATCTTCGTGATTCTGAGGCCAGCATGGTCTACACTGTGAGTTTCAGGCCAGCTGGGGATACAAAATAGACAAAAAAAAAGTTTTATTAAGCTTTTGTGCTTGGTTTGGTTTTTTTACATTTATGGATTTTTTTGTGAGGTTTTTTATGAAAATAAACCATCATATCTATATAAAACAAAGAAATGTAGTAAAGATATTTCTGCCATGTTAACAACAAAGTACTTTGGAGAAGATTTCATGAGAAAGGAGCACACATATAGTGAGAACTGTGATACTTAAAAGCATAAAAATCAGTTCAAATCTTAGGAAAATTGCATATTACGAGATGGGCATAAGCAGTGACAAGAATAATGTGCATTTATTCCAATGGAACTCATGAACTTAATAAAATTCCAAGACCATTTTCAAAAATAAACACATGAAGGTGGCAACAGTTCATCTGGCAGAATGTGTAAGAAGACCTAATTGGTTTCTGCCAAGGCACACCATGGGGAAGTTGGCCTAGAGAGAACAATAAATAAATAAAACATGGCATTTTTAGCTGTAACAATGACAAAGAAACCTATAGGTATATTGATATAATGAAACAGAGTTGACCAAAAACCGGCCACATATGGTTACTGCTTACATGAGGAAAACGGCCTCTTTTTATTTTCCAGTCAAGGTATTGCTATGTGTCCTTGGCTGTCTTTGAACTTGCAATATTCCTCAGTCTCCCAAGTGCTAGGATTTCAGGTGTGTGTCACCACACCCAGCTTAAGCTTTACTTCTTACATGCCAGACTTTTACTTGAGTTCCATCTAGAAGTCCTTCTTAAACCCAGTGGTCACAACGTAGGGCCTCTCTCTAGTCATGCTCAGACTTACGCTGACAGTGAGGTTAGCCCAGTTCACTTCTGATGGCATGATGCTGCGGTCCTTCCAGTGCTGTAGGGTCTGATTGTTTGGATTCTCTGGGCGTGTGCACCTGCAGCTGAGGGGAAGAGGGAAACAGATTCCCAAGGAGAACAGCCAGATTATACTAAGTTTCCTTATCCAAGACTGGGTTAAAGGCTCTGTCAAAGCCTCCCTCCCTCCCTCCCTCCCTCTCCCTCCCTGTCTTCCTTCCTTTTTTTTTTTTTTTTTTTCCTCCCCTTCAGATCTTAAGAGATGGGTCCTTTGGTTGAGAAGCACCTATCAGCCCAACCATACTTTGATTTTTCAAAGATGGAGTCAATCCGCACATGAGTCTTGGATAAAATGGTACAGACAACCAACCATGCCTGGCATGCAATAAGCCCAGAATGAGCCCATGGGGTTTCACTGTCTGGTTTCTATCTCTTTAAGCTCTTGTTAATTCAATCTACATAGCAAGAAGGTCCTGATATTCTGCTCAGTTCTCAAGAACCTCCTTAGGCCTGAATGTCTTACTTCTCTACCTGCTGTTACGCTCTTCTTCTAAAGATCAGCACCTCCTGGAATGGTGGGAGCTCTTTCTGACACTGCATTACTCTTGCTAATCTCCGTCACCCATAGCCATTTCCTGTCCATGCTGAGCAAGGCCTGGCTGTTTCATGCCTCCTCACTTTCATCCAAACCAGATAAGACAGACATGTCCTGTGTACAGGACACTAAATTCCTCCCAATCCCAGCATGCTTTGGGTCACTATGGTCAACTGAGTCATTCCCGTCACTTTTATTTCAAATTTATTTTTATTTCATGTGTATGAGTGTTTTGCCTGCATGTATATAAGTGCACCACATGCATGCAGTGCCAGAAGAGGACACCAGGTCTCCTGGAACTGGAGTGAAGGATGGTTGTTAGTCCCCAAGGGGGTGCTGAGAACCAATCCCGGATCCTTTGCAAGAGCAGCCAGTGCTCTTAATCGCTGAGCCTTCTCTCTAGCCCCCTCATCTGTTAATTTAATAGCCATGCCTTGTATGACAGAATTAAAATTCAGATCTCAACAGGGAGAAAGCTACAAAGCCATATGTTTAGGTTTAAAAAAAATAAATTCCAGGGCTGGAGAATTGGCGCATTGGGTAAAGTGCTTGCTGTGCAAACAAGAGGACTTAAATTTGAATCTCTAGAACTAAGACACTTAGGAATGTAGTGTGCATTTGTAATCATCATGCCAATGGTGGGACGGGAGGTGGAGACAGTAGTGTCCCTGGAAATTTACATGCCAGCTAGCTGGGCAAATATAGTGGCAAACAACAAGGAGACCCATCTCAAACAAGATGGAACACAAGACTGACAATCCTCTGATCTCATACATGCGCTGTGGCACATGCACACCTACACTCACACATAGAAAAATGCATACACATATACATACATGAGACATATACCAAAAAACTTTTTAAAAGATCAATTCCATAAGATATGCCAATTATTCTAATCTGGTCATTACACATAATGTACATGTATTGATAAAAATAAGCCTGGTATGCATACAAGCAGCTCAAATCTCAGCTACTGGGGAGGCTGAAATGGGAGGTTCACTTGAACTCAGAAGTTCGAGGCCAGCTTGGACAACATATCCTATCTTAACAATGTCAAGTAAAGGAGCTGAGGAGATGACTGGGTTAGTAAAGGGCACACTGTGCAAGCTTGAGGACCTGTGTTCAAGCCCTGGAACCCAAGTGAAAACGCTAGGGGTGGTGGAGCACACTTGTAATCCCAGCAACTGGAAGGTGAGGACAGGAGGATTCCTGGGCATCGCTGGCCAGCAGGCTAGCCCAACTGATGAGCTCCAGGCCAATGAGAGACCCTGTCTCAAATGGTGTTTGGGGGATGATACTGGCATTGTCATCTGGCTTCCACACATAGGTACACACTGCACCCTCACACATATGAACATATGCACACACATAAAAATTCAAATAAAGTCAGACATAATGGCACACACCTTTAATCCCAGCACTTAGGAGGCAGAGGTAGGTGGATCTCTGTGAGTTCCAGGCCAACCTGGTCTGCATAATGAGTTCCAGGTCACCTGGGGCTACAGGGAGACCCTGTCTCAAAAAGACAAAAAAAAAAAAATCAATTCCAAATTTGAAACAAGTGTGATGTATTTCAGTAGGTGACTAAAAAGACCCTAAATATACATTATCAAGTGAAGGAACATTCTCAGCCACATAGTGAGCTTGAGGTCAGCAGGGGATACATAAGACCATATCTCAAAAAAAAAAAAAAAAGATACTGCAGTGGTGGACAGTTCTATATGGAATGCACAACACAAGAGTCAATTCTAGGGTGAACTTTGGGTGACAATGATAGGTCAGTATAAGTTCACTGATTGCAACAAATGTCACACTCAGATGAGGATGTGGGCAATGGGGGAGGCTGCGTGTGTGTGGGAGCAGGGAATGCATGCAAACTCTACTTTCTGCTCAACATGCTGGGAAGCTAAAACTGCTCTAAAAAACAAAGTCTAGTTTTTAAGAATCAACTTCACAGGTGTTAACATAAAGCCATTCAAAGGAGTTGAGGAATTCTAGTGTCACATCAGCTCATGAGCTCCATGAGAACCTACAGTGAAATCCAAATCAGGTGTCATTAATCATGAATTACAGTTTTCAGAATCAGGCTTCGTAGCACATGCACATGCCTGTAATCCTAGCAGCAAGACCCTGTCTAAAACACAGACACAGACACACATACACACATGCACACACACATACAGAGAAAAAGTAAAACAAGAAATACAGTTTCATGTGAGGTATGAGGTGTGGTGGCACATGCCTTTAATCCCAGCACTTGGGAGGCAGAAGTGGGTGGATCTCTGTGAGATCGAGGCCAGCTAGAACTACAGGGATACTCTGTCTCAAAAGAAAAAAAACAATAACAACAATAAAACCAAGAATTACAGTTTCGTGATTGTCTACTTAATATGGTCATTTTTGTCTGTCTTCTCCAACTAGGATATAAGTTTCTGAGGGCTGTCACTTTTACCACTGTTTTACCAGGGTCAAAAACAGAGCCTGGTACAAAACAAGTACTCAATAAGTACTCGTTAAATAAATGGGTAAAAGGGTCAAACAGGTCAAGGGATGAATGGTACAGAAGCAAGGACTCCAATGCCATTAAGCTCCAATCTGCTAGCCTTTGAAGATGACAGTCCCTAATTGTGGTTACTTTGTATTAAAGTAGTTTCAAATTCTAATACATTATTAATTCTGATCTTAATAAGCAGTAATAAACGGACAACCAGAACAGATGAAAGTGCAATTACAGCAGGTGGGCAGGGGGAACCCTCTCCCTCAGGTGTTTCAGGTTGAACTTGTTCTCCACCAGATCCTTCACATCAGAACTGTACAGCCAGAAGGAGAGAACAATGTACAGGTCTAAAGAGGAGTATCTTTGGTGACAATGTGGAGAATTTTATTCTAGAGAAGAAATAATTATAGGACCAAATTCTCCTGACAGTTGAAAGTATGGCCAGATACTGTGCTACATTTCCAGTGATCTAAACAATGTTGAACTCAGGAAGAAAACAGTCTGTTGACTTGAAGTGGGTATCTAGGAAACAAATGGGTATCCAGAACTTTAGGATAGAGTGAGAGAGATTCCTGACCTGAAAGTAATCAGAATCATTTCCACTTCCCAACCCCTAATAGCTGCCTTCAGACTCTTCACTCTGTCACCTGGTAACAGGATCTTGAAAAATGAAATTTTCAATAATTCAAATTTTCCCTGCTATATTTGCAGCCTTCCCCCTCCCCAGTACTTACAACCAAAAGACATGCTCTAGAAAGTCATTCTCAAGTTTCCTCCGGGTTTCGCTCAATTTGTCTCCCATCATTGCTTGATTACCCTCCTCTGGTAACCCTCCAAGTGTCCTCATCCACATCTGAGTTCTGCTTCCCAGAAGGCCAAGGCACTTCCTTAACAGAAGTGATAATCACTGCCTGACACGTTAGATCATAACTAAACTCAGGACCTCTGCAAAAAGAAGCATCTTGCTCTTTGCTGGCTGGCCTTCACAGTGCTGAAACGTACTGTGCAGGATGCTGGGGGAGAAAGGCATCAACTTTCTTACCCAGATGTGGAACTCATATGCTACACAACCAAACTACCAGGCAGGATGTGTCCATTGGTGCTACAGGGCATGGGGTGCTCTAGTTAGCTTTCTATTGCTATGATAAAACACTAATCAAGCCAGGCATGGTGGCGCACACCCTTTAAGTCCAGCACTCACGAGACAGAGGCTACATAGTGAGTTCCAGGCCAGCTGGGTCTATAGGGAGACTCTGTCTCGGAAAAAAAAAAAAAAAACCCCGACAAAACCAAAACAAACAAACAAACAAAAACCAAAATACTCATCAAAACCAACTTGGGAGGAAAGGGTTTATTTGGCTTACATATTCTGATTATAGGTTATACATGAAGGAAGGCAGGGCAGGAACTCAAACAGGGCAGGAACCTGGAGGCAGGAGCTGAAGCACAGACCATGGAGGAACACTGCTTACTGGCTTGCTCCTCTGGCCTATGCTCAGTCTGTTTTCTCATACAACCCAGGACCATTTGCCCAGGGGTGGCACTGCCTACAAAGGCTGGGCCCTCCCACATCACTCATCAATCAAGGAAATGCCTCACAGACATGGCCACAGGCCAATCTACAGAGAAGATTGCCGAACTGAGTTGCCTCTTCCCAAGTGTGTCAAGTTGACAACAGAAGCTATCCAGCACAGGGGGTGACCAATAACTTTCTGACTGGATTTGAGGCCTCCTCAACTGGAAGGAATTCATACCTGGTACTGTAAAACTGGTCGAAAACCTTTGGTAGGGGAGGTCATAGTTCCAAGTAAGTGAGGAGTTATTATTTCTGTTTTGCTAAACAGACATGTTGTACCTGCCAAATTGCTTTCTGAATATTTTGTTTGTTTGTTTTGAGACAGGGTCTCACTGTAGCCCCCACTGGCCTGGACTCATTATATAGACTAGATTGACCTCCATCTCACTGATAACTACCTACCTCTGCCTCCTGACTGCTGGGATTAAAGGTGTGCTGAGATTAAACCCCACCTGGCTAAATATTGATTTTTATGCCTATAAGTGCTGCTCACAGCCTTTGTCAGGAAAGCTTCATTTTGCAATAGATAATGGTTATTGACTTATAACTAATCAAAGTTCTGAGAATAAGTGACTGTTGAGTATATGGCCTTAAACTAGACATCCGTATCATCTCTTCCAAAGCTCACGGAACACTGCTGAAGAAAGGGTGGAAAGAATGTAAGAGCAAGAGGCTAGAGAGGGGGTGCTGCAGAATGCAGTTATCTAGACGTGATATGGCATTGTACTCCTGAACTCACAATAACTATGGTTACCTGCACAAGACCTTTACAAGATGGAGCCTACCAACAGTCCATCACAGATGGGGAAAGGCCTCATGAAACCTCACTCCTTCCTAAGGAGCTATTGGCTGTCAATAGGTTTCCAGGAAAGGGCAGACGATTTCATCAGTGGTGTAACCATTGGTAAGAGGTCCATGCTCCTGTAAAGAATGTGCCACCCATGCTTATGCAAGCAACTTTAATTAAACTCATTGTCCACACACATAAAAAAGACAGGAAAGCAGGAGGAGGAATAGCTGGGCAGAAGGAGATGGATGGAAGGCAGGGAGACAAGACGAGGTAACTGGGGTGAATGTGTGATCAAAATGTATTATAGACTTACATACATGGATATAATTGTTTAAAAACATTTTTTAAGCTATAGCAGTATAAATGGCCTGATCACCCTATCTTAGTAAAGAGAAAGTTCCTGAAAAAAAATCAAAGAAGAAAAGCAGAAAGCATACTTACTAATAGAGGCTAAGGTGGTCCAGCTGGCTGTGCATATGGATGGGGTAGGTCTCTGCCAGGTGAATCAGCTTTTCTATTGCTTCATAGATGAAAATAATGCAAATCAGGGAGGCAAATGCTTCTTCGGTGAAGCGGGTAATGTAGCAGACAAGAGAACTGGCATCAGTTGCCACAAGGACAACACACAGGAAGGCAGTCCACAGCCCTATGCAAGCTCTCAGGGAGAGGTATGAGAGGGCATAGTCTCTGAAAAATACCAAATTTCATTAAGAGGCATGGAAGGACGGCACAAAGAGACAAAGGGACAAACACAGCTAATTGGTCTCAGCTATCCACACCAGCACCACAGTTTGTCCCAAATATTGAGTGCACTGCATTCCTAAATAAAGCCTTGGGGCAGATGTGTTAAAGGTCTGCTTCGTGGGGCTATTTGCCATGGTAAGGAAACAGGAAATGGAGAAGGAAGAAAACATCTCATATACAAATTTCTGCCATTACTACTCAATGTAATTAAAAGTTTGTGTGGTAAGAAAATGGGGCTAGTGGGGGCTGGAGAGATATCTCCAAGGTTAAGAGCATTGGTAGCTCTTGTAGAGGACCAAGGTTTGGTTCCCAACATTTACACAGCAGCTAAAAACTGTAACTCCAGTTCTAGGGGATCTGAGTCCCACTTCTGGCTTCCATAGGCACTGCATACATATGATGCATTTAAATGCATGCACATGAAACACTCATGCACATCAATAGATAGTAAGTACATTTAAAAAATTTAATATAAGTGGAGGCTGGGTGGTGGCACACACCTTTAATCCCAGCACTAGGAAGGCAGAGGCAGACAGATCTCTGTGTTTAAGGGTAGCCTGGTCTATATAGCAAGTTCTAGGCCAGCCAGAGCTACATAGTGAGACTGTCAAAAAAGTTTTTTAATAGAGGAATTAGTTAGGAAATTGATCTTTAAAATTAAAAAGTCAGCCGGGCGTGGTGGCGCACGCCTTTAATCCCAGCACTCAGAGGCAGAGGCAGGCGGATCTCTGTGAGTTCAAGGCCAGCCTGGTCTACATAGTGAGTTTCAGGACAGCTGAGGCTACAGGGAGACCCTGTCTCAAAAAGACCAAAAAAAGAAAAATAAAATTAAAAAGTCAATCTCAGCATGGTGATGCACCCTGTAATCCAGCACTCAGGAGGCCAAGGCAATTTTTTAATAGAGGAATTAGCAAGGAAATTGTTCTTTAAAATTAAAAGGTCAATCTCAGCATGGTGATGCACCCTGTAATGTAGTACTCAGGAGGCCAAGGAAGAGGATTGTGAATTTAAGACCATGCTGGGCTGTACAGTAAGTTCCAGTATAGCCTGGGTTACACACAGAGACCCTCACTTAAATAATTTAAAAGACTGAAAACTTTAAGACTTCAATAATGTCTAGAAGATGTTAATGGGGCTCCTGAAAAGGAGATCTGCATCATAGAGGGGCTACCTGGGGGCAGGACAGCAGAGCCAATGATGTTCCTGCCTGACAACCTATGATACGTATCTGCTTATATACCTCCAGAGGAGGCTCACATTTAACTTTGACAGCACCGTGACCCCATGCAGTTAATTTTCAGGAAAATCAAAGTCTTACTTGCAGAATTTGAACAAAATCTTTTCAAACACAAGCACTGGCCCAGTACTTCCCAAGATGGTAAGAGGCTGTCCAGCAAACAAGGAATAGGCAATCCCCGTCACAGAGGCTCCAAACAAGGATTCAATTGCACTCTGAGGAGGGAAAAAAGTCAGTGAGTCCACAGCCTAGCAATGAAGAGTAGCTGCCTTACACAGACTCCTCACTTAGCTAAATATGTGCCTTGGCAGCTATTTGCTTGTATTTCTTCTTAGCAAGAGTGGTGGGTACACAGTGCCTAATACTCCTGCAAACAGATACCACTTTAATAATTCAGGTGCCCAGGCCATTTGCAATGATTCCTCAACTAAGCTATCTTCTTCAGCAACTCAATTCAGTATTCAAAGACATATAAAAAGCACAGTGATGCAGACAGTACCACAAGCTGTCACACAGCATCCCTTTAAAGCTTATTTTCAAATGATATCAGTGGTTCCATTTCCATTCTTGGGATGATGAGCAATTCACCAGGCAACCAGCTACTGAAAGTGATATTCAAGCCAAACCAAGGACATACAGAAGGAAGATTTGTGCTTTTTTATTATTTTTATTTCATGTGTACGCATGTATTGTCTGAATGTAGGTAAGTGCACCCGTGTCGTGCAATGCCCATGGAGGACAGAAAACGAGGTCGGATCCCCTGGGACTGGAGCCACGGATAGCTGTTAGCTGCCATGTGGGTGCTGGGATTCGAACCCAGGTCTTCTGCAAGAACAACCAGTGTTCTTAACTGTCGAGCCATCTCTCCAGCCCCCTCCTTTTTTTTGTCTTTTTAAGACAGGCTCTCCCTGTAGCCCCAGCTGTCCCAGAACTCACTATGTAGACCAGGCTGGCCTCGAACTCACAAAGATCTGCCTGACTCTGCCTCCCAAGCGCTGGGATTAAAGGCGTGCGCCACCACGCCTGGTAGAAGAGCTGTACTCTTATGAAAACAGGAAGTCTCCTCAGTACTGGCCTAGTTACTGTTCCTCCAAAGAACTTGGTTGCTACCACAATTTTGTTTTGTTTTGCTTTGTTTTTTGTTTTGTTTTGGTTTTTTGAGACAGGGTCTCCCTGTAGCCCTAGATGGCCTAGAACTCAATATGTAGGCCAGGCCAGCCTCTATCTCACAGAGATCCACCTGCCTCTGCCTTCTGAATACTGGGATTAAAGGTATATGCCACTACACCCAGCCTCTACCACAATATTTTTTAAGTCTTGTTTTGGACAATTAAAAGTGATTTAAAGCTCTTACTATGCGTCCCTCCGTGGCTTCTCCGAGCAATCCCCCAAAGGTAATGACAGGTGACATGCAGGCACAGTACAGGAACAGAAAGGAGGCCAGGCACTGTAAGCTCAGTGCATCCCGGTAGTCACTCCAGTACCAAGGGGCCTTCCGCTTAATGTCCAGCACCAAGCCCCCAAATAGCCTGCAGAGACAGGGCAGACAGCCCTATAACACAGTCCCCTCTTCCACAAAAGCACATAACAACGTACATCCAAAAGCATTTCAAATGTGCTCCATGCTGAGGTAGTATCTTGGCTTCAGTACAAATCTCTGTGTCAGCAGATTTTATTTACAATCAAAGGTATGACATTGAATGATATGTACCAAGCACAAAAGGCTTGTGGAGCTTGAAGAATATTTAACCCCTTTATTAAAGTTCAAAAAATTCTCAAAAAGGCAAATATTTGCTTCAACTTCAAATTCTGAGCTGTTAGGAGGAAATGTGTGAAAGCAACACAAGGCATTAAAACGATTAGTTTTATTAAAGGTTTTCCATATAAAAACCGTCTATCACATGCACTTTCTTACTCTGAACAACTGTCCACCTCAATCTTAGCATAACAGTTTACTCATGCACTTGATAAGTAGTAGCAGACACTTGGTGTCAGGCACTGGGTCAGGCACTAGAGATGCAGCAGTGAGCAAGACACACACAGCCCTTGGTCTCGAAGGCCAACAGTCTAGTGCAGGAGACAGGCTGTGTCATGACATCAGGATGCAATGGTAGCCCAGGATATGGAGGGGCATCTCAGCAGGGTCTCAAAGGAAGAACTGGGAGACAGCCAGACAAGGCAGAGGGACCAGCATCATGACACCTAATGGTGAAAGGATGTGATGGGTTGGAAGTGCTAGCAGAGATGTGACTGAATCATACAATGAGAGGGTAAAAAACAACAGACAAAATTAGAGAAACTGAGCCACAGAGGCTGTAATAGTTTTAAGGAATTAGAACTTAATCCTAACATTGCTCACTGTCAAGTTACTGAAGGACTGTAAACAGTAGAGCAACATCACCCACATGCATTCTAGAAAGAGCATGGTTGGGGCAGTGTACTGAAGGGAACGTGGATTAAGATGAGAAGTGGATGACTCAAGGGCTACTCAGGAAGCAGAATCCACAGGACTTGACGGAAGAAATTCAGGGCCATCTCCACTGCCACAAACAGGGTGGACGAAGAGCAGGATGCATACCAAGGAGGAGCACTGCTCCCAGTTCAGTGTTCCTGAGACAGCCACTGTGCTGGGGAAACCTCGAGACATGGCACCTGGCTTCTTCCACAGACCAACAGCATGGGAACAAAGGAAAGGAAGAGGGGCGCCTACGGGGTGGGAGCTGACAACCAGAGGTAAACTTTGACTGGACCCCATATCAAATGAATAAACTCCAAAAAGATGCTGGTGATCATCAAAAAAATTAATATGGGCTGAACATTTGATGATTTAAAGAATGATGGTTAACTTTGTTAGATTTTTTTTGCTGTTGTCTTTTTGAGACAGGGTCTCCCTGTAGCCCCAGCTGGCCTGGAACTTGCTGTGTAGATCAGGCTGGCCTTGAACTCACAGGGATCCACTTGCCTCTGGTTCCCAAGTGCTGGGACTAAAAGCATGCGCCACCATGCCCGGCTAATTTTGTTAGATTTTATTTTGGCAAAATGATTGCTTTTTAAATGTTCTTAATAAATGAGATACATACTGAGATATTTACAGGAAAAAAATCATATCAGTGATTTTGTTTACAATAATCTAGAAAACATAAAAAGGTGAGAGGAAATAAATAAAATTGGCAAAATATTGGTTAACAGTTGATGAGTGGGGGTTCATTATACATATATGTGGAATTTTCTATAATAAATTTAAAAAAAAATTAAGTTAGGAGGCTTGGTCATCTGTTTTGTTTTTTGTTTTTTATTTTTCCTTTTGTCTCCCAAGAGCCTAGGGAACTATGAAAACATCTGGGACCAATACATGGAAGAGAAGCCCAGCCAACTCTGGCTCCACTTATCACTGAGCTGAATTCAGTGGGCGCAGGAGAACGCAAGGCAGACACTGTTCTATCCTAGCCTCTTGCTGCTTTCCTCTGGCTTTGATGCCATTCCTCCACTAACATCACTAACATCAGAGTCTGGGTGTTGGTGTAGAGAGGTAAAGGCAGCCTTATCACCGGCCTTAGCATCATCCTGTATGGCAAACCCAGATTAGGTAAAGGAGCTATCTCTAAGAACTAACATAGGTCACCAGAGTTCAGCCTCAGGGATTGGGACCAAAACTGACTTAAAATAGAATGTTACTTCATTTTAGTCTCTCATTCAGACAAATAGTCCTTCAAGGACCTTCAAGGTGGTGATGACTATTATGAGTCTGGGGCAGTGTTCAGTGCTCCTGGGGCCTAGCTACCACAGCATCTCTCACCAGGAGAATATCACCTTGTTACCAGTAACCTTTTCCTGAGGACATTATTCTGAGAAAATAATCTCCTACACCTCACTGAGGCTACCTGAGATGCTGCTATGATTAGTCCACTCCTAGACGCAGGAGGCATCTTCAGAGAGGTTTGTCTGTGAGTAACAGATGATTTATGTGAAACAGATTTATGAGAAACCATTGAAAAGGAGCTATCTGTCTAGCAGTGATTAAGGGAGGTTGGAGTCAGGCTCATACTTATGATACGACTGTAAGTTATGAGTAATTTCTGAATACTTCTTTTGGAGTCAGCCCCAGACCTCATTCATAATCGGAACATAAAATCATATCATAATTGCACATCTACCAGATATTGAGACGTGGATGTTCTCTCTATATCTGAGACTTCCTTTCCTTTTCAACATTGTCCTTGATGTTCAAATGCTTGTGGAGGGCAAGAGGCACATAGATAAGCTTGATGTAAGAAAAGTCTTACCCGTGAAGAGGGTCACTAGGCTCTGGTGCATTGACTTAGGGAGCCCTTCCTTGGAGGGCTTTAGGGACAGGCCAGCCATATATTTGTCTGGTGTGCTTTGAAAGAAACCCGTTTGAAGTGTGGGAGATCATCAACATAGCCACTCTTTTTCCATCAACCCCTCCCAAAGATTTTCAGCCCAAATAAGGGATATAAATCTGCCCTGGAAACGCCCTTTCCAGAACAGCCTTGCTATGCAGCCTCTGGACTGCTAGGAAGAGTCTAGTTATACTTCCTTCTTTGTCACATGGAGCATCCCTGCCTGTGTCAGCAACAGAGAGTTTCAGGACTCCTCTATAGTCCTGGCTTGGAGGTCAGAAAATACAGAACTCAAGGAACGGTGTTTTCAACCATGCCTCCTTTCTCCTTCTTAAAAGGGTCTATTCTACCCAACTTCCAACACCTCTTCATCTTGCAAATATAGCAGCCCCTAAAGCCCGTGTCTGGCTGAAAGGTTCTACAACATGATCTACATAAAGTGAGATTTTCATTCAAAGAAACATAACTCATAGCTTGAAGAATTATAAAATCTACACACTAATGTGGTTGCGCAGTCCAAAAAGGCCCAGAAACTTCTGGGATGCCCTAGTACAGGGAAGATTCACATTTGCCTTCTACATAATTTGAAATGGGGTAGGGGCCAGAGCTGGGCTGGAATTGTGATTTCTGATGTAGGCAGTGGGTCACGTGGCTGAGAGACTATAGTATGAGGAAAGCCATGTGTCCTGCAGTCCTTTGCTAAGGGGCCTGGGGAACACAGGAGCTCAGGAAGAGATCTACCAGGTAGAGCTTCCTTTTAGCATTGTCATACACACAGGTCGCTGACATGCAACCAACACAGGGACAACTCTTCCAAACCCTGTATTTGAGTTTATGAGTTAAGGTATTTGAGGTTTGTGATTAAGTTTGTGACAGTCCTAACACTATGGGTTTTTTTCTGGGTAAATTGGGTATTACTTTCAAGATTCTACAGCTGTTTGGGCTCCAATATAACGATGACCCAAAGCTCCATGTAGAACTGACTAGAAGCATGGACTCTCATATTCTATTCCCCTTGGCACTAGAGGAAATGAAATCTCACCTCTGCTCAGTCCCTGTTTGAGGAAAGAGCTGCTGCCTCAGCCGCACTGCTTCCCTCTAATTCTTAGGGTACAGATATATTTATATATCAAAAAGATATGCTACAATTCTGACCTTTCCCTGAACAAAGAACACCTCCTCTGGAGCAGTCTCAGTCTTGGGGTTTCCTCACGGGACAGATGCTTCCCTCACTGCCTCCTCACACCAGCCTCCCCATCTTCCAAATCAGACCTCTGTCACTTTAAAGAAAATGCTCAATTCTGTCTTGGGCTGCTCCCTTTTGCAAAGACTACCTTCATTCAAAGGCTTCTCCTTTCTACCAATGCTTTCCCAAAACAGAGTTATCTTCACCGACCTTCAAACATTCCTCCAACCAGAAAATGCACTCTTCTGTCAAGGACAGTGCCAATTTAGTGCCATCCCCTATTTCTCTGACTCCTTCCTGATTTATGCCTAAATTTCAAAGAGTGGGAAAAAAATCATGCTCTACATTAAAAACAAAACACCTGAGCTTCCAGAAGAGGAAGAGGATGCAAGGAGGGGGGAGGAGGAAGTAAAAAAGATGGCAGCAAGGAAGTAGATGACCTAAAAACTTCTTTCCAGGATCTGAGTACTTCCCTGAGAATCTCCACCCACTTGGCAGATCCTTTGCAGACCAAACACAATGTGTGGAACTAGAGACTTAGTCTCAGCCTTCGACCATAATCTGGGGGCACTGCAGGTATCACACCAACGCCTAATATCTTCTCTCTTACCACTTTTCTATCTGAGAAGTTTCTAGTCTGTGGACCAGTTGCCTTCACCAGCCATAAAGTATCTCTTCCTTGTATATCTGTCTTTAAAACATTGGCCTAAAAGAGTAGATTTTCTTTAGACACAGACACACACACACAGACACATAGACACACACACAGATACACACAGACACAGACACAGACACAGACAGACACAGACAGACACACACACACACACACACACACACACACACACACACACCCCTAAGATACTATTTCCAATCCCTAAGGAAGTTTCTTATCCTAAAATTATGCCCCAACATTTATCCATACCTAGTCTACTCCATGCTATATATAGGTATCATGCTAAACGTATTCATTCATTATCAGATACTGAGCATCCACTCTGGTGTTGGACACTGAGCTGAGTAGTATCTGACATTTTGGAGTAAACAGTCTAGAGGAAACACAATGAACCAAGCAATAATAATAAAGTGTGATAAGGGCTGTAATAGTGGTTAGGGAAGAGGGGGAATCAGATCAATACTCTAATGTCAAGTACTAGGAATACCTATTTTCAGCTCTAGAAAGTGCTAGAAGGAAATAACTAAGCAGGGACAAAGTTTAAGTAGAGCTCACCAGATGAGGACGAATATGTGGTCAAATTAAAGAAAGCAATGTGTGGAGGGCAGACAGAGCATAATGGTTCAAGAAACATGAATGAATGAATACTAGATACTTTAGTAACAGGTATAGTAGATGGTTCCATTTGAAAAGTCAACCCCAGACAACAAAGTCCCACTTTCAGAGAGGGATGCTGAAAACAAAGAGGATGCCTCATTCATTTACACAATGTCTGACCAATAAGCAGGGCCAGCTGTGAATGTCTCAGAGCTTACCGCCCAGTCCGCTGAAGTTCTGGCCCACTATGTCCCCCATGTGGTTCTGGCTCTATGTGGCAAATGTTTCCATTTGGAACTCCAGGCATTTTCCTTTTCTCCTTTTAACAGAAGACCACAAGAAAGTCAGCATCTCTGTCCTTGCTGGTAAGAGTGGGAGTGGTGACAAGATAACCCCAAAGCAATAAAAACGCTCAAATATGGGTGGCATCCAAATGTATTTGCTGATTTGATGCCATTTACTGATTTCCCTGGTGGGGAAATGGGTATATTTACATATATAAAACATTTCTCCATTAGAATCTGACTCCTAACTATATTCTGCAGGAAACAGAAAAATAGGGTCTTCAACATTAGATATAACCTAAATTCCAGTCTCACACCTGCTGTATAATCTTACTTCAATTTAAAATCTTGCCCTTGAAGACCACTGTAAACTAAAGATAACAATACCTTCAGGGGGATGTTGCTGGGAAAGCTGAATTCACATGAATAAAACATCTGGTCTTGCGCCTAGTACACAGTAGGAGTTCTCTTCCCATCCTTAATATGTCAGAGAACTATAGGCAAGTTTATTCACTCTCTCAATACAACTTGCTTTTTTCATGTGATGATTTGGTAGGTAATATACTTCTAAGAAATGCTTTTTTTTTTTTTTATCCTGTCTGTCATTCTACATCAATCCTTCCAAGTTTGGCTTCCATGCACCCCCAGGTAACCCTGATACCTCATCATACCTGAGACAACCTATGCGATTGCAGATTCATTTCTCTATTTTGACATTCAGCAGCTCCCAAAGAGAGACCTGTCAATATACCTAGCATATACACAATGGCCTTTGCTTCGCCTATGGTGGGAACTGAGTATGTGACACTGGGCACTATTGGCTTATAGCTATGCATTACCTGGGAAGGGACATTTTTGGGTGGCTCAATTCTAATGGAGGGGTCCCACTCCCCTGGAGGAAGCACCGTCACTTGGTCCAGGAACTCATCAATTCCTGCTAGGAGGTCGTCCCGCTCTTTTGCTTTGTATGCCACATCATGGAAAATCTATAGAGAAGAGAAAAAAGCCTTAAGAAACTGAACATTCGTCTTCTTCAAACAATCTCTGATGTATACAGTGACAGATGGGTGTGGCCTCAGTCATGGGGATCTAAGACAGAAAACTTGGCAGTCAAAGAAGTGCAGGGATTTTAAAAAGAAGTCTCAAGCTGGGTATGACAGTAAATGCCCTTAATCCCAGCATGTAGGAGGCTGAGGCAGGAGGACTGCTGGAAGTTCAAGGCCAACCTGGGCTACACAGTGAAACCCAGATTTAAAGAGATAAGACTTAAAGAGATAAGCTCTACTGTTGCACAGTTCCATTAGCTCTATAGAAGAAAATGCAAGATAAACAGAAATTCTTTTAATCATAATGTTTCAAACCAAATGGAATTACTAATGAAGATCTTCAATGAACGAATCAGAGAAACTATAAAACACAACCCACAACTCCCTCTGACACTAAGATGTATGCCTTGAAAACAGTACTGTAAAGCCTGTATGTACAACACTATCCTTACTAGTGTCAAAATGTCCAATGGTGTGGAATAGATAATGCAGGACATTCACGTGACACTGCTTGAGGGCGTACCCTGACCTCATGCAAAATGATCTCATTTCCATCTAATGGGAATATTTCTTTATGCAAATAACTTGGTTTTATTAGTCATATTCTCTAGAAAGTTAACCCAGGCTGAATGAGTTATATTAAATACAGCTCTACATATTCTACTTAGCAGTAATAATTTTCCCATAAAATTATTTCTCTGTTTCCTTGATTACTTTAAAAGGGAGAGTTCAATGGCCATGGGGGTACAGGCCTATTAATTCCAGTACTTGGAAGATTGTGTATTTGGTGTTTAAGGCTAGCCTAGGGCTATATTTAAAAGCCTGTCTCAAAAACAAACAAACAAAAAAGGAGAGACAATAAAGCAAGAAAAATTCCCAGAGAGCTCCGTTCTCTCTTAATAGGCTCGTTCCCTGAACTGACTCCCAACAGACATCGTAACTATAATTATTTTATCCTCAATGACTCGCACAGTATTTGGAGAGAGTAAACACTCAATATTTGTGAGATGAAGGCATAAAAAGCAGAAGCCTGTACCTCATCTGTCATGATGGTGGCCATGGACCTGCCAATCTCATGGTACTGCTGACCTTTTCCTACTGGACCCAATAAGATAAACAAAAATCTGCCAAAACATGAAAAAGAGGACATTACATGAAAAGATAGAAAGAAGCAGCATCTTATTTCTTCTCTAAATAAGAAAATCTGTCTCTCCTACCCAACAGAAAATATCACTGTACCTCCAAGAAAAATGATACATACTAGTACAGTGATTCAGCTGCCATGGCCAAATAGTATCTGAAACTATTTATATGACATCATTGAACACCGTGGCTCTATTTCTTAGAGTTTCCATAGACATGATTCCTAGCTATAGAAAGGATGTGTTTTCAAAACATGCCATTGTTGTGCAAATTCAAGGTTATCTAATTCCCACTCACTGTTCTAATAAGAAAACAATAGAAAAAGGAGAGGAACGTGGAATTGAAATGACCAAGCCCTGGAGAGGACATCTGAACACCCTCTATAATTAGTGGGGCTCTGAATCACTGGCATCACCTCAGGCACATGAATAGCCTTTTGAACAAGTGAAGGCCTATGTGCAAACCATATAAACCCTGCCAGCACGGTAGAAAGACACAATACCTTTGCTTAGGGATGTGTCCCTGGATATGGCTTGCTAGAACTCAGTGAGACACAGGCTCCCTACTGTAACAAGCCACTGACCCTGGTGCTCTTTCGAGGTACCTCAGGTCTTTGTTTCCATGGCTGGCGGTACTGCACAGTCATAGCCGTGAAGGTTAAAACTCTGCATGTGGCTAATCAAACACATGCCCGGTTTTGGAGCTCGCTGATGAACCTCAAGCAGCACTCTCCCAGCCAGTCAGCCCTAACTTTTGGTAGTAACTAGTTTCTTCCACCAGTGCTCTCACAAATTTGTACTTCAGACAGAATGCCCTGAGTTTGATCTTCACCATTACCTTGTTGGGATCGGCACTTCTGTCAGGCCGGAAAGAAGAACCGCTGGAGAGAGCCTCACAAAGGCAACGATGGGCCGGTCCAGAGTATCCACCTCTCCAACCAGGACATTGGAGGCCTCTGCCCCGGTGGGAATTTTTTTCATGAAATGAAGGTCCACCTAAAGGGGCAAAGAGTCTTCTGACTATTTGGGAGCCATCATCTTAAATGCCAATCGCTCCCTTAATACCTTGTATTTAACATATCGCCTCATGGGTAAAAAGGTTTTCTTGCACTGTTTTTTGATCCTTATAGAAACCCTGGATGGTGGGTAAGTAAAATTGTATTAGTTCCCCTATTTAAAAACAAAAGAAAAAAGAAAGCAACTGAGACCCAGAAAGGGAAAACTGACTACCCAGAACTATAAAGCCTTTATTTTACACTTATTTATTCATTTATTCATTGTGTGGGTGCACACGTGGGTGCACATAGGCATGCATACCATAGCACGTGTGTGGAGGTCAGAAAACAACTTGCAAGAGTCAGTTCTCTCCTTCCATCATGTGGGTTCTGGGGATTGAATGCAGGTTGTTAGGCTTGGCAGCAAAAGCCTGAGCCACCTCACCAGCCCAAAACTCAAAGTTTAAACCTAAGCATTCTGATTTGAACTGCACTCTACCATGGCTCCTCAAGGAATAATGCCATTGAAGCTCTGGGTCATATTATTTATCTTTTAAGATTCTCAAATGCCTTGTCAGATACCACAGTCATAGCCCATAATAGTTTGAAACATGAGGTAGCTTTAGAAGGAAGTTGCAAAAATACTGTTTTGGCAAAACCCTTGAAAATGAGAAGGAACTGAGAGACAGCAGGTACCAAAAAGGAACAAATCAGGAGGTCTGATTTAGGGAAGGCTCTGTAGGCAGGCTCAGTTTTCAGTATGTTGGATCTAGAGGAATAAACTGAGGAGTCAGCCTCAGCCATGCTGGGTCTGTAGAACGGAGAAGATGGGAGAAGATGGATGCCCTTTTCCATAGAACCAGCTCTGGTCTTAGAGAAAGGACCTTGAAATACCAAAGCTTACCAAAGCAACTGGATGCTGGGTTCCACTAGAGATATCCTTAGGCTCACCTTGCTTAAATCCACAGGACTATGTTCACAATTCACTCCATTTTTCACTTCAAGATTTGTAGATGGAACAGACTGAGGAGATACAGTTTGACCTATGTGGACAAAATCAAACAGAATCTGCTAGTACCTGTCCCTTTCCCCTTCTGCTGCAGTCCATTCATCATCAGCTGGTCAGCTATGACTTCACCTAGAGGCTACAGAAGAGGCTAAGAGGAATGTGAAGCAGGATCTGCTCCTATCTACCTCAGAACCCAGACAGTGGTGAGGGACACAGGGTCTCAGTCCTCCACGTCTCATGACGCTCCATTTATTCATCTATGAGGACAGGGATCTTTAACCAGAAGTGCACATCAGAGACTCTACAGAGAACTTTGCAAAAAGATTCTCAGGCAAAGTTCTTCACTCCATAACAGTAAAATGAGGAGACCAGGAGACTACAGATGAGGCCCTGCCCAGCCACAGGGAAGAGAATCAATTATCTGGAACTGAGTGTTTACATCCCACCATACACCTGGATAAAGGTTTTGTATATACATTAACTCAATGGAATCTCATAATAAACTGAAGAAATAGGTCCTATGACTGCATTTTACAAGTGAGACTTGAAGAAGTTTAGTAGGCTATCCACAGTCATATACTAAGTGGTAAAACCAAAATCACAAATCTAGAAGTATGACTCAAGAGTCTACAGTACAGGGGAGATGGCTTGGCAGTTAAAAGCACTGACTGCTCTTGTAGAGGACCCAGGTTTGGTTCCTAGCACTCACATGGAAGCTAATAACCATCTTTAACTCCAGTTTCAGGGGATCCAACACCTTCTTCTGACCTCCTTGGACACCAGGCGTGCACATGGTACACTTACATATATGCAGGCAAAACACATACAAAAAGTAAGATCTTAAAAAAGAGTCTACACAACTATATTTTGTGTCCTTAATCCAAGATGTTTTTACTCCTAAAAACCTCCAGTTCACTTTCTCTGGCCTCATATTATCACTAATGTGAATATTCTCCCAAAAGCTACATAATTTCTGAGAACATTCTGCAGACTAAGTCTCTTGTCTCAGATCCTTGAGCTCTATCAAAAACATGCATTCCAAGAACACAAGACAGAGGTGGACACCATCTCCAGGCCGCTCATCTTACTAATCACTGGAGTACAAAGTACCTAAGTAGGCACAGCCTCTGCCCTCCAGTAACTCAGCATCTCCAGCTACTTCCCCAGTGTTTTATCAATAAAAAGAAACAATAGTCACTCATAATAATCTTACCGTTCTTGTCCATCGAATGTGGATCAGACTGCTTCTTGCCAACCTCAGCAAAGGAGCGAACAATGGGGATGAGGTTGTTTCTCCTCTTTTCATTCTGATGATGGTGCTTTTTGAGAAGCGCTTCCCGTACTTTAACCCTCACACTGTCAGTCAGGTCACTGAACAGTTCTTGCTGGTCCAGTATCAAGTCTAGAAAGCAGGCATTCCCACCAACACTAACATGAGGGCTAATGAACCCAAGGAAAACACCAGGGGAGCTGGGAAGGGGCAAAGGCAGGGATAGAGGTCCACAAGGGTCATCAAGGTAATTTCAGGTTCAGTGTCTGAAAGAACATTTGGTTACTGGAGCAGTGAAAAGTTATACTTCATTTATTCAACAACCCAAAATCATGTTTAGAGGTGGGGTCTCACTCTGATAACTAGGCCATGAGCTCCTGGGCTCCTGTCATCCTCCTGCAAAAGCGGGATGCACAAGCATAAGCCACCATGCTAAGCTCAAATCATTGATATGGGGAATATGGGAATAAAGCCTACTGAGCATTTAATATGTGCCCCAAACTTCATTTATCAATAAAGTTCTTATAAAACTCCTAAGACCCTTGGAAAGGTATTATGATGATAGTTCATTTTTTAAAGATCTATTTAAAAAATTTTTTTGGGGGGGTCTTTTTGACATAGGGTCTCCCTCTAGCCCCAGCTGTCCTGGAACTCACTATGTGGACCAGGCTGGCCTTGAACTCACAGAGATCCACCTGCCTCTGCCTCCCGAGTGCTGGGATCAAAGGCGTGCACTTAACTTAGGGGTGTGTGTGTGTGTGTGTGTGTGTGTGTATGTATGTCACGTGTGTGCAGGTACCCACAGAGGGCGGAAAAGAATGTCAGATGCCCTAGAGACGAAGTTACAGGCATTTGTAAGCCCCCTGATGTGAATGCTGGGAACCAAATCAGGTCCTCTGGAGGAGCAGTAAGTGCTCTTAACTGCTGAAAGATCTCTCCAGCCCCTGTGATGACAGGAAAAAACCAGGATCAAATATTATAGAATTCCCCAGGTTCTCCTACTTCCTCAATTTCAGATCAAGGATCTATTCAGGACTGGCTAACTGAAGAGCCCACATCACTACCCACTTTATTCTATTCTCTGCCAAACTTCCGTGACATTCCCTACCTCCCCAAATTTAGCATTGCAGTGACTCCAAGTGACTATCTGAAAGTAGAACCTAAAGAAAAATTAGATGATCAAACCACCCACTCCAAACAATTATATCAATCTTTAAACTATGAAGTCCAACAGGTCTGAGGGGTAAAAAGAGCCCCGGAATTGGTCCTGCCAGCACAACAGTTAACTGTACGGGTCTAGAGTTGCAAGCTAAATTCTATCCCAGCTCCGTATTCTCTACCTCTATTTGATTGTGAAAAAAATTACATAATCACTCTGGACTCCATTTTCTCATCTAAAAAGAAATATGGAGCTGAAATTATCACCTACCTTAGAAGGCTGTTATTGTAGCTGAGATGAGATCCAGAGTACTGACTCACAGTAAACACTTCATACAGAATTTCTTCCTTTTCTAGACAGAGTCTCATACAGAAGCTGATCTCTCTACCTCCAAAGTGCTGGGATTACAGGTGTGCACCAATCACGCCCAGCCTGTCCGGTATATTCACTTACTCCTACCTCATATCATAATCATGCTTCAGAATTCTTCATTTCCTCTGCCTACTGTCTCTTTTATCTCTACTCTCACATAAAGTTCTCAAAAGTTCCACAGCCCTTTTGGCTACTCCAAGAAACTGCTTTCACTAAAAATAAAGAACTAGAAAATAAAACCACCCAACTGCTAAATGTGACAGATGTATTTATATATTTATCTTACCTAAGCTCAGCATTTGACAATGATAAATCAAAACTCCTGGCTTTTAGAATTGGTTGAAGGCTGCTTCCCTAAATCTGCCTATATCCTAGCCACTCCAACCCAAAACTGTGTGGCTATTTTTGTACTAAAAAGGGAAGGGGTGGGGGTCTTTGTAGATGTAAGTTTGGATCTCAAGATGAGAACATCCTAGATTATTGGGGTAGGTCCTAAATCTGATGGCAAATGTCCTTATAAGAGCATACAGAAGAGAGACATAGAGGAGGAAATAATCACATGAACACAGAGGCAGAAAGTGGAGTTATGCTGTATGTACTAAGCCAGAGAACACCTGCAGCTCCCAGAAGCTGGAAGCTGGAAGGACCAGGGGAGAATTCCCTTCCCTCCCCTACCAGTCTTCAATGAATTCAACACTACCTATAACTCATTTCAGGTTTCTGGCTTCTAAACTCTGACAGAAGTCTTGATTCACCTGCCTCAGCCTCTAAGTGCTGGGATTACTGGTATACAACACCATGCCCAGATTAAATTTCTGCTACATTAAGACACCACATATGTGGAAATTTGGTACAGCAGTTCTAGGGAGCTAATGCAGATTTCATGGCCATTACCTGATTCTCCTCCCAACACTCGGAGCACTCCTCAGTCTCTGTGACTGACTTCTCTTCCTTCAACGTACCCACAAGCCCCCTGCAGCCAGCCTTAGACAACTGGAGTCACCAACCACCCCCATTTTTATCATCAGCCTCTCAATGACTGGAACCACCTCTAAGACCATTAAGTAAAAAATGCCTATGAGCTGATGACATAAAACTATTTCAGTTCAAGTCTCTAATAGGCACAAATCCTAAGTGTCACATCAAAGCTCCAATTACCTATAGAGATCTCTCTAGACACACCTCTACCCCTAGAACTTAGCAAGTACAAAACCAAACCCATTATCTTTCCTACCAGATTGCTTACTTTCTAGTAATCCAGCTACCTACACTAGAATCCTTACCTCTCTTCCTTTATTCCCCAAACCAATCTGCCAAACCAGTCTTATCAGTTCTACCTCCTGAGTTTCACTGGACATCATCCCTTACTGCCAATGCCCATGGTGCAGGTAACATCTCACCCAATCTAGTCCAATGGCCTATTTCTCCCTTCAATCCACCCTTCATACAGTTTTGATCATCTTTCTAATAGGCAAATTTGATCAGGCACTACCCTGTCAAAACAAATTCTAGTGTCTCTCTGTTCATGCTCAATATAACACCAACAACTGCCAGGAGTTCCTGGGGTGGACCAAGCCAGCAGCCTCACACGGCAAATGCTTTACCCACTAAGCCATCTCACTAGCCCTTTTATTCTCTTGCTTTCTGATGGTTTTTGTTTTGTTTTGTTGAGACAAAGTATCACTATATAGTCCAGTCTTTGAACCCATCATTCTCCTGCCTCAGCCTCCCAAATGCTAGGATTACAGCTGTGTACCAGAATGCCTGGCTTTCATACTTCTTAATTTATACAAATCTTCCATTCCCTTACCTGAAATTTCTTCTATGCTATTTGCACGCATATCCAGAAGGACAGTCCCATTAATAAGGCAGCTCCTTAGCTCAAAGAGACTGTGCAATGAAAGAGTCGCCACATAAGGCTTGCTCCAGCGTTCCCCACCATCTTCAACATCTTCTTCAAATTTCAGCCACCTGGAAGCATTATAAATGAGATGCCAAAGACAGAAAGTACAGACTTTTCGAGAGATAAAAATATCTGAATCTTCATAATGAACACTGTAAAGTCTAGTCTATATATCAGGGGCACATTGCTAAGCGAAATAGAGCAAGTTCTAGCACAGTGCAAAACTGTGTACAGTTTACTTCCATTTTTGTTTAAAGAAAAATTTAAAATCGTGAACACACACATGTATAAGACCCCAAACGCCTTCCTTGTCCTATCTCTGGGGCAGTGGGATTGACGATAACTCATTTTCTTCCTTTTCTTATCTTTGTTTTCTAACTTTCTATAATGAACATGTATTACATGCACAATTTAAAAAGATCTAATCTCGGGGCTGGAGAGATGGCTCAGCGGTTAAGAGCACCGACTGCTCTTGCATCGGACTGGGGTTCGATTCCCAGCACCCACATGGCAGCTACGAACCGTCCTTTACTCCAGCTCCAGAGGAATCCGAAGCCCTCTTCTGACCTTCGCGGCATTGCATGACATGGGTGCACTTACATACATGCAGGCAATACACATGAAATAAAAATAATAAACTATTTTTAAAAAAGATCTAATCTCTATCATTTAGACACATTAACAAATCACATTAATAAAACAATCTATGTGACCTTTAGAAATCCACAAAGACAGAGTAACAAAAGACTAATTGCCTTTTCACTTGATATCAGGCAAACTGCCTTGTTTACTTCTCTGTACTCATCAAGATGCCCAAGACAGAGCACGCATCCAGGAAAAGCTACATTAATGAGAGCTGGAGCCAGTTCTACTAGCTACCCACTCACTTCTTCCCTAACACTCAGATAAGATGGCATTATATCATCTGTAAGGATCACTGGTCAGCTACTAGAGAAACCTAGACATGTTTATACAAGCATGGCCACTCAACTAGGAAGTCTAGTGTTTGGCTACCTACAATACCAAGGGCCTTTAAGAAATTAAATTGCCTTAGAGGAAGTTGGAGTCTCAGAAATTCTGGGACTGTCATGGAATTAAAACATAAATGACCCTATGGTTCACCTGCAGAAAAAGTCTAGAATGATGTTATATTTGCTCAGCTAGGTCACAACTAAGGTGGTCTTGCCCAGAATCTTCTAAACTAGACCTATGTTATCAAGAGAGCCTATAAATTTATTCTGGGCCACAGATCAATGAAGAGGACACCCCTGTTTATACCCATTGATCCTATGATCAAGGTCACCTGGCATAGGTACGACAAGAAATATCAGAAAGAGGCTAACACCAACACTCCACTGGAGCATCAATCACTACATTAGCTATTGCTTCAACTGTACAGAAGTAAAAGGCAAGCATGTCTGCCATTTGCTGGGAGTGAACAAGTGCCTGCCCAGCAGATCTTGATCTAGGCTATTTGAGGGCCTTACCTGGCTGTCTCCTTCCACTCAGCGTCTTCCCCCTCTTTCATACAGATCTCGTCCAGCTCTGTGAACAGCTCATGAGGCACATGCTCTTCGTCTTCCTCAGTGCCGAGAATGAACTGAACACGCTGAGATGGGGTGTCTAGGAAACCAACCACAGAGAAAGGTCTGCATCTAGCCTCAAAGTCGGAACAGAAGTCGTATTCGGCCTTACCTAACAACTTTGGAAATACAGAGAAGACAACCCTGAACACAGATCAAACAAGTTCCTTTGTCCCTAGAGAAAATGTTATTTTATGGAAGCATTTTCACAAAAGGACAGAGCTTCGAACTAAGACCATCTGCAGAAGTCCCATAAGAACCTAGAGATCTGACAAGTTTTGATCAAAAGAAATGACTAATTCTCTAGGCGAAGGATTTTACTTACAGTATTGTTTGGGGTGGGGGAGGCTGAAGTGTGAAGTTTTCAGGAAAACATTTTAAATTCTTAAAAAAAAGTATTTCTTCTTGGAAACCCTACCCAAGGGCTAGAGAATTAAGACCACCTTCTTAACCCCTGACACTGCTAGGCCTCACCATACCTCACTACAGGGATACCCACCCTCTCTCTCCCCATCATGTTTTGTTACCATGAGCCGAGGCTTCCAGGCCCTCCTCACTCTGGCCGATTCCTTTGCCCCGCCCTCGTCTACGGTGCTTCTGGCCATGGGTGCGGTGGTGCCGATGGCTCTGCCTGCCCAGCGGCATACGAACCCCCACATACAGAGTTCTATGACCTGGAAGGAAGCAGAAGGCTATGGAGAGAACTTTCACCAAAAGAGCCTGGCATAATTAAAACCAAAAAGATCGCAGGGTTTTGGACTGGTCGCAATTCTGGAATAATAAAATTTCAAAGACTCCCAGGAGCAGACAGTGATCAAAACTGAAGGTCTCTTCCTTTGTCTGGCAGGTTGCTGCAAACCTCACAAGGAATTTGTGAAGATCAAAAGAAGCAATGTGTGTTATTATTCTGGGCACTAGCTGTGAGGGTGGGTGTCCATGCTGGGAGGTGTGGGCCAGGCCTAGTGAGCGTGTGAAGGTCATAGCAGGTGGTAAATTAGGGTGCGGGAAGGTAGCTTCCTGGTGGAACACATGCTTAGCATGTGCAAGGTCCTGGGTTCAATCTAAGAAGGGAGGGAGAGAATATGACCTGTAAACGGTGATTATGTGAATATATAATAGTGTTTGTTATTACAATAACAATCTGTGTGATTTTTTTTTAAGGTAATGCAATTCCTGTATATAATCATGGCAGGTCTTAGCAGGGAGGCAGTTTAGAGAAGTGGTCAAGCCTGGGTCCAAAAACCATTTCACCATTTACTAGCTGTGTGACCATAAACAAATTATCTTATCGCTCTGACTTTTTTTTTTTTTTTTTGACAGGGTCTCTCTGTAGCCCCAGCCCACCTGGAACTCACTATGAAGACCACGCTAGCCTCAATCTCACAGAGATCTGCCTGCATCTGCCTACCAAGTGCTGGGATTAAAGGCATGCACCACCATGCCCAGCACTGACTCATCTTTTAAAAGGAATTCTAAAAGCTTTTCTATTTATTTTTTTTTTCTTTTTTTTCTTTTTTGAGACACAATCTTCCTGTAGCCCCAGCTAGCCTAGAACTCACTATATTGACTAAGTTGGCCTTGATCTCATAGAGATCTGTTGGGCTATGCCTCCTGAGTGCTGAGATCAAAGGTATGTGCCACCATGCTTGGCTCTAAAAGCTTATGTTTAAACTCATAGGGTTGGGCTGGGAGAAATGGTTCAGCAATTAAGCGCACTGGCTGCTCTTGCAAAGGACCTGGATTCAATTCCCAGCACCCACATGGCAACTAACGACTGCCTGTATCTCCAGTTCCAGAGGAATCCGATGCCCTGTTTTGCCCTCAGGGCACTGCACTACACAGGTGCACTTACACACATGTAGGCAATATACTCATACATATAAAATAAAAATAATAAATGAAATATTTTTAAAAATAAATGCAGGGCTGTTGAAAGCAGTAAATAAGATGATAAGCAGAAAATGCTTAACACAACTGAGCATGGTGGGTCTTTAGTCTCAGCACTTGGGAAACAGAGGCAGGCAGATCTCTGTGAGATTAAGGCCAGCCTGGTCTACATAGCGAGTGCCAGGCTATGTGGGGCTACAGGGATACCCTGTCTCAAAAAGACCAAAAAAAAGAAGAGGGGGGGGAGAGAGAGGGGGAGAGAGAGAGAGAGAGAGAGAGAGAGAGAGAGAGAGAGAAGGAAGGAGAGAGAGAGAAGGAAGGAAGGAAGGAAGGAGAGAGAAAGAGAAAGAAAGAAAGAAAGAGAAAGAAAGAAAGAAAGAAAGAAAGAAAGAAAGAAAGAAAGAAAGAAAGAAAGAAAGAAAGAAAGAAAGAAAGAAGGAAAATGCCCAACATAATGCTTGGAATAAATCAGCCAATATATTCTAGGATCAGTGTCTGCACTGCAGAATACACAATCTAGACTAGTAGTGAAAGACTATACATCATACGGAGCATAAGGCTGGGTTTAAAGAGATATTATTGAAGATAATAAAGAAAGAGAAAGGGACATGGAAAAGAAGTGAACCAAAGCAGTCCTCCTTTGTTCCTCCCCTCAGACTCCCTCATTCTTTCTTTGGTTTTCATACTTCACCTGACTTCCACTAACTTCCCCCCTGCCTTCCTGCCTAACCTGGAGCTCAGAATCAGTAGCTTTAGAGCTGTTCTCACAGCTGACACGCAGAGCCTTGGTAACCCCCATTTCCACTGATTACTGCCGCTCTGCACGCCAGATCTTAGACACTTTCACACTGTTCCCACAGCTGTTCCAATATTCAGCTACTGTCTGCATCTACCACCTGTCCCCACTCCCTCCCTTTGAACAGTGGCCTTGCTTCTTACTGATAAAACAGGCCCTCACATGACATCTTCTTCCATCACAATCTGGCTCCTCTCCCCTCTGCCAGGCTAAGCTCTCCACCCCATGCCTCCCACTCCTGTGGGATCTCCTGCACTAGCTATCCTTACTGTTTGCTCTTCATCCAGCCCTTCCACAAGATTCTCCCCACTGACCATAAAAAGAAACCTTCCCACTGAGGTGCGGCTCCCCCAAGTTTCTGCCTTTCCTTCCTTCTCCATCAAACCACTTTCCAGGATCATCACCGAACTAATTCCCTTTCTTCACCAACTCTTTGTTCCCTGGCCTCTGAGTGTGGCTTCTGCTCCCCATTCTCTAAGGAAGCTGCTCATAGTAGGAAGACCAGATGGCACTTAGTCACCAAATCTCTATCCTTGTACATCTCTCAGTTGGTAGAGAGCCCATCATGCATCAGACAGTCTCCAAATCATTTATCTATTTTCCCTTGGTGTTCTGGGTTCCTTTATTGCCCTCTGCTGGCTCCTGCACTCTTTTAGAGCTTCCTAATTCCACCACAATCCACCAAAGGAATAATCCATCCTTGCCCCCCCCCTTTTTTTTAGTGCTACCCAGTTTTTGGATTTCAATGTTCACTTCTACAAACGACTCCCAATTTTTCAATCTTATTTTGTAGCCCAGCCTAGCCTCATACAGTCCTCCTGACTCACTCTGGGATTATAGGTGGGTGTCACTGTATCTCACTTCAAATCTTAATCACTCATCCCAAAGCAAGTTTGTAATTACCATCTTCTAAAATCAGGCTCATGCTGGGCATGGTGGCTCTCCCTTGTAATCTAAGCACTCAAGAGAGTGAAGAAGGATAGCCAAAAGTTGGAGGTTAGCCTGGGTTACCTAGTGAGTTTGAGAACCCCCTGGTAAATAGTGAAACCCTATCTCAAAAATAAATAAATGGCTGGGTGTGGTGATGCATGCCTTTAATTCCAGCACTTGGGAGGCAGAGGCAGGAGGATCTCTTGTTAGTTCGAGGCCAGCCTGGTCTATACAGTGAGCCAGCTGGGACACAAGGAGACCCTGTCTCAAAAAAAAAAAAAAGACAAATAAATAAATAAATAAATAAATAAATAAATAAATAAATAAATAAATAAATAAATAAATAAAGTAGAACCAGCCTCTGTGTTTCTGTTCATAGCATTACCACTGTGTCACATTTCTGGCTTGGCACCTCAGTTACCTGAGATTTCCAGCTCTACCCTTCTGCACATTTGAACGTGCACCCTGTACATTAGGGTTTCTCTCCTCCCACTCTGACAAAGCAGGGTCTCCTTCCTGCCCCCACCACTATTTAACCTTAAAAGTAATCCCCATGCTCATAGCCCTCATCATTGCTCGCCCCTATGAATTCCAAGACTTTTTATGCTCAGTTTTCAGTCTCCTCTCTAAATTTTTCTTCCTCTAAGATAAGCTTACATAGTCAATATAAATTTAAACACCCTAAAAGAACTAGGTTATCAGCTCAAGAGAGTTAAAGGAGGATCCTATATGCTTGCCCAGAACAAACATTCTCGGGAGGCATCCAGAGCTGAATACCTTTGTACCTTCACCAGCACAGAACGGCTTGCTTTCAGCTCCATCTGCTCTTCGTGGCTACTGCATCCACAACTCCCCCAGCCTTCTCTACGCAAACCAAAGTGCTTATCCACAGATGTGTTGATAGTGTCTGGACACTCACTCATCTAAGACTGAAAACTCACCTTCCTTCTTAGTATTATTTTTTTATTTTCCCGATCAAAAGTGTGGCTTCCTTCCTCTAAGTACCCAGAGCCCTTGGCTAGAACTTCTCTCATGAATCTGTTTCCCACACTAGAGTTGAACATCTGTCTTATTCCCTACTATGCATCTGTGAGCTCCTCGATACCCTACCCTCAGTACTCCCAGAATCCCTATGTAACCAAACATCATCTTCCACAGGGTCATGGCTCCACAAACAGTCAGCAGATGGAGTATCTCCCAAGTGCCTCCCCCAGGAATATAACCCCTTAAGACTTCCTCAGGAGTGCCCAATCTGACTTAAAGGAGCCCAAGATCTGAAAGGGGCCACAAAGGACCATAAAACCAAAGTGATTATGTTTAGGATGAAGAAAGTACTTGTCAGAGCATGAGGGATTGGGTGGTTTGAGAAGCTCCTTGCTGACGTGTGAGTAAAAAGCTTAATCTGTAAGACTTCTCAGAAAAGGGGACTTTATAAGAAAAGTTGCCAATTCATGGTCTTTTACCACCTTGGGTTTCCTAGGACTATGGCCAGCTCCTTCAACAATGCTCCCCACTCTCTAATGGGAGTCAGGTGCCTTGTTTGCTGCTCTAACATTTGTCCATTTCTCCTCCTTTTCTTTGCCTCCCCATCCCTCACCAGATACTATGTTTTCTAAATCCCAAAGTGCTAAATCAAAATAAGATGGAAACAGTGAAGATTAGAAGACTATGAGACATCTATCTGTCTCAGGGTTATCTTATGCTGGTTGGTTCATACACATCCCAGGACATTTTTGATGGACATATCTCTAAATGTAATATAGTCAACTCCATAGAAAAAGAATAGAGCCAGAAGAAATTGTGTGCTAAGATTTAGGATTCCAGGCCCCTGGCATTCTGATAATAATATAAGCAATAGCGTATATAAAGTAGGAAAACAACTAAGCAGAATGTCATTCATTACTAATAATGCCCCACTCTAATATAGCAATGATATCCCTGTAGTACACCCACTAAGATCACCCCTGGTAGCATTAGCAGCAGAATGGAGTCACCCAATTGTGCCGTGTTCTGTCCCAAGGGCTGGGATACAGCACAAAGTTTTCAGGATAGATAGACAGACATTCTAAAAACAAAGTATTTCAAATACAGCTGATTACTACAAATCAAAGGTAAAGTGCTAGAGAGTCTGTGGTAGGGACAGGAAAGAGACAGACATCAGTGAAGATGCTTAGATGGGACCTCTGCATGATGAGAAAGAGGAGGCAATCAGAAGAGCTGGGGAAAAGAACATTCTAGGGAGAGAAAAGATCAAGCACACAGGCACTAAGCTGGAGTGTGTGGGGATGTTTCCAATGTGAAAAGGCTGCTAATAGGGATAGACCAAGGTGGACAGGGGAAAGAAAGAAGGACAGGAAAATAGGCAGAAGCAAATCACAATGATTCCACGAGCAGGGACAAACACAATTAGATCCTAGAGAATCACTTCAAACAGCCTCTAAAATGGTGGCCTGAGTCTTATAAAATCATGTGTGGAGCTAGCCTTAAAGAACTGAAGGTAACCTGGCATGCCTTTGCCAGAGCCATCTCAACCATGGGCTTTCTCTTTCCTAAAGAGTCCCTTTGAACATATCCCAAACACTTCCACTAGGCTCACACTAGAATACTGCTAGTATTACTTAGTTGTACCTAAATTCTCTAAAGAAATTGAGGAAGCACTGCCTGGACATTGGAACCTGTGCTATTAATCTTATCTCACTGGTTAACTTGCTTGTCACTACCTCAAGTGTGATGAACCAAGTAAGTAGCTTCCCAAGTCTTGTTCAGAGGTGATGAAGCTAGTCCAATGTTCGGGTCCTAGAAAAGGTTCAGGCCAGGATGCTCTTTGGTGTCAACACACTGGTTTAATTGTTCTCACTCCCCCACTGCAGGGAACCACAGAAAGGCTCAGTACATGTTTTTTGAACATATAGGATATGGTTTGCCTTGATATCTGAATTCTCACAGCGCAGGTCTGAGGCATAATAAGACATCCTTCAGATGCCTTTGATGGTTCTGTAGGAAGTAAGGTAAAGCTTGCATCTTAGAGAATATGCCCATCCCTGCTTTTTGAAAATACCAGAGAGGTAGAAATGAAAGCAAGCTCTACAGGGGTCAGAGCTAAGAAGGACCAAATGGCTGTCAGAAAATTAGATACCCCTTCCTAAGCTGGGGATTCTAAGGCAGGGATCTGGATTTTCTGAGTGAAATTAGCAGAAAAGATAAGAAGCAAACAGACACTAAGAAATAAAGAAAAAGCCCAGTCTATCTAGCTGGATTCTGATAGGCCAGTGATTTCACCAAACTGATCCTACAACTACTCTGATGGTCATTCAACCAGAGGCCTGCCCACACAGCTCTGTTCATTTGCTCCCAACTCAACCAAAACACCATTTCTTCTCATCTAATTCCTCATTCTTTTCTCTGGGCAGTGTCAGAACTAGTCTACTGAGGCTATATAAGTGCAAAGAAAGAATTCTAATTCTTCAAAAGTAAACTTTTGAGAAAGATGTTGGTGTACTTTATAAAAATACACACACGCACATACACTGAGAGCAACCATGAGTGAACTGCACTGAATCTTGTAGAGAAGTCACAGGCATGATCTACCCACAGAGAGAGACTAGGGGTGGGGGTGGGGGTGCAGACTACACTTCTGTGTGCACACTGTTTACCAAGTACTCACATGGAGCTCATTAGCAAGTACTAACTGGTTCTCAGCTCCTTTGGACTCTCAGGTTGACTCAAAGTCAAAAACCACAGAGGGAAATCCTACATGTAAACAGATGCAAGCCTTTCTGTAAAATTATAAATATGACCAAATGGGTCTTGCCCTTGTTAAAAGCTTATTAGAAAGCATTAACCTTACCTCAGGGGTCATAAATCTAGTACTTAATCAGGAATAATGATCTGCCAGAAATAATAGGAAAGCCAAGCCTCTAACTAAAGCAAGTGCCCTGTTCCCACTGGGGCCTGAGAGAATCCACGGAAATATATTATGGGTTGCTGCTCTTTTTCTTTTCTTCTTTTTTTTTTTTGTCTTTTTGAGACAGGGTCTCCCTGTAGCCCCAGCTGGCCTGGAACCTGGAACTCCTTATGTAGACCAGACTGGCCTTGAACTCACAGAGATCTACCTGCCCCTGCCTCCCAAGTGCTGAGACTAAAGATGTGAGCCACCACATCCAGCCCATGGATCACTGCTCTTGAGTTACCTTCCGAAAGCTGTCCTTACATTTGCTTTTGAAAAGTGCAGTGTCATGGTTTAGAGTGCCTTCTCTTACTGACAGAATTAACTCATTCTAAAAGACCCACATTTATAGTTTCTAACAACGTCTAGACACTAAAGCTCAGCAACTGTTCTGAAAACGGCATAAGGGACTATGGATAGAGCTCACAAAACTAAGTGGGAGAAGGCCCAGAGAGTTCTCTGCAGCCACAGAACCTTGTGTGATGGTATACCACCGAATCAGAACACAATTTATGGCTACCTTCCGTTAAAATAAAACTGATTTTCCCTATGCTTCTAGGGGACACTACTACCCTTTATGCAGCCTCACCAAGTCTTACGGCTGCACTTCAGAGGGAGTTGGGATGGAATCCATGGCACACCAACCCCCAGCAAATCCCAACTCTCTTCTTCTCCAGCGCTGCTCTTGAACCAGGCCTGGGGCATGGGAGGACCACGAGTTCTCCATTTGCCTATAGGACATTTTTGTAAGTGCTAACTCAAATAAGATTCTAGTTTTCAGAAAGGTCTCTTTACAAAGGACCATTTCCCAGTAGAGTGTCCCCCAGTAATGCCGACATCATTATGCAACTTTCTTTTCTGGCAAAGTAGAGCATGAATAAGAAAGAGATACTATCATCTGAAACCGCTGTTCCTCCTGACAGTCCCTCATCTGACCTCTGTGGAGAAAGCCTAGTGCTCAAAATCCAAGAGCTTGCCCAGGCTCATTATTGTACTCCCAAGGACATAAAAGTGTTCATAAAATGTCTGTTCTTTGTTGAGAACAAAGTTCCACTGAGCAGCTGCGAGAGGGTAACTGAGTGGAGAGCAATGCATTCTGGGGTATAATGGGAGGGCAGAGAGACCACAAGACTACTAGGGACAGGACAAGGAAACATCTATATGATGGAGCAAGATATTGAGGTTGGACGGGTAAGTTAGATAAGTGTCCTGCCTGGCACATAATACAGCCGAACAAAAGAAGCAGGATCCATCCCAGCCTCCACTGCCATTAGCAGGTATTTGGAGTGATTTCCCCGTCATTACAGAGGGATAATGACACCCATACCTCCTGGGGCACTAGATGCAAAAGGCAACTTGTATAAAGTGCCTAATCTGATGCGTACCACACAAGAGACATTCAACAATCACAGCCTCCCATTCCTCCCCCTTTCCTTCCTCCATTTTCTCCCTGTCCCTTCATCCCTCTGCTCAAAATAACTTGGAAAACTTGACCTTGATCTACCTAAACACTACTGACCTCCACAGAGCCACCCACACAAGTTTTCGTGGTAACAGACCCAGAGCTGAGTCAGCCTCTACAGTTTTCCGTCTCTCTCCATCCAAAGGACACGTTTTCTCTGGGGGTTGTACGAGCCTGATGCAAAACTCATCATGGGAACAGGCAGTACAGAGAGAACATTTCACATGCTATCTCAGGCATCAGAAAGCTGCTGAATCACACAGCCTTCAACAGTGCAAGACACTACAGATATTTCACAAAGGCTTTTGTGCCAAACGTGGCTTCTCATTAAACTGTATTGGATGTGAACCTTCCTCTGAGATAACAGAATATCACCACTAATGAAGAACCATAGTCAGGAATGAGTCTAACTCTAAAGGTCCAACTAGACCCTGGGAAAACGGAAAAAAGGACACTACATAACTATCATTTGGGAAGCTGGGGGACAGCCAGAGAATAAGAATGCCTCTTCCTGTTTTCTACTTCTACAAAGTTTTTATATAACTTTGTGCTGTGGATTTAGAGGGTCTGTTGCCTACATATTTCTGATTTTCATTTTCTTGTTTAATTTTAAAAAACAAAAATATCAGGTAGAAAATGGCCATAGTTAGAAAATGAAGAACAAATAGTGGGGATGTGCTGTAAGGAAAAAAAGGTTTACAGTGAAACAAAACTTTTAAAACTACTGATATTTAAAGTTTTGAAGATACGTGTATTTCTAGGCAGTTGTGAAAAATCACTAAACAATTGAGTACTCTACATTGTTAAGTAATAGGCTATTTGTTAACATTTATATTGAACTTATGACCTTACCAATGCTCAAAGCACTGCAGCATATACTATTAAGCCTCATGATATCCCTGTCAGACAGGCTGCATACTATTCTCTCTCTTTTATTTTATAGAGGAGGAACATGAGGCAAGGGAGATTGAGGGATTTCCCTCCATGGGGTCCTAGAGCTAGTGAGAAAGAATTAGGACTAGCCAGATGTGGTGGCACACGCCTGTAATCCCAGCACTTGGGAGACAGAGGCAGGCGGATCTCTTTGAGTTCAAGGCCAGCCTGGTCTACATAGTGAGTTCCAGGCCAGCTGGGGCTACAGGGAAATCCTGTCTCAAAAAGACCAAAAAAATAAAAATAAAATAAAATAAAAAGAATTAGGACTTGAACCCAGGTCAAGGTAAGTCTGTTTTCTTTGTTTTTTCCATACCAGGCAGCCTCTTGCCAAGTTCTGTCACACAGAATCAGCAGTTCTTACCTTCCAACTCTTCTTTCTCATAGTGAATGTTGAGAATTGTGCTGGTTCCACCTTGATCCACCACAGCTTCCTCATCTGGTCTCTGTTTAAACACAAATAAGCAAACAGTCACAGTAATACACACATTATTCATTCATTCAAACACTTAAGACCACTGTGTATGTCAAGACTCTTCTGAGACACCTGGAGGTGGAAATATGATTTACATGTATTTTTAAAATTTGAACCTCATAATAACCTTGAGATGCAAATATGGCAGCCATTCTCTTTTGTATTTTGTTGAGTAGCCTAGACCCAAAGTACATTAAATAATTATGGCCTAACGTCACAAAGTGGTAAAAGAGTCAGGACTGAGCCAGGTTGTGTGAGTGGCTCAGCTGTCTTTTTTCCCCTGCTTACTACTCTGGCTATGCATCTGTAGAGTGACTTAGAAGCTTGGTGTAAACCGGTCTCTTTGACCTCATTGCACCCCTTGAGGGTTTGTCACCCTCTGCTCAGCTTCACCATTCTTCTCTTGGGTCTCCCTTCCTCCAATCTTGGTTCCCATGGAAGAGCTCTCTACCCTTGTTTCCCGCTCTGGAGGCTTCGCATTTCAATGTGGAATGAAATGGTGGTTCCTACCAGATGAGCCTCTAGGGCGGTGTACTTCAGATCTATGTATCTGAAACCAAATTAACCTTCCTTCCAAAACTATCATCCTGCCCTCACATTTATTTCTAGCCATGGCACCATCCATCATTTCTTAGCTACTATTTGAAATCTCAAACCTAACTATCTATTCCTCGTGCATTAGAGTCCACCATCTGTAGTCAGGCACGTCGTCTCCCTCTATAATCAAGTCTCCTCTGCAATTTCTCTCCAATGTATTCTTATCTCTCATCCATTCTACCATGCATGCTATGTCAAGCCTTTTATATCAAACTGGCATTTTTCTTCGGTCCTGGAACCACACCCACCTTCTTCACTGAGTGCTGCTTGTCTGCATGGGACCACCATCTCTCTGCCACTCCATCCCACCAGGGCAGTTAATACTTACTCTCTCTCTCTCTCTCTCTCTCTCTCTCTCTCTCTCTCTCTCCCCCCGCCCCCGTCCGTCTTTTGTATATAACTCAAGCTGGCCTAGAACTCACCATGAAACAGAAGATGACCTTAAACTCCTGATCCACACCACCTCGTAAGTGCTGGGACTACAGGCATTACATGCCTGACTGGCTTTATTCATCATCTCTTACATCTTAGCCTAAACAGATTTTCTTGGAAGACTTCTCTGACTGCCCCTCACTTCCAAATTAACCTTGTCCCTCATTTTGATGTCCTGATAGTACACTGTAGTTCTCCTGAGTAATGAAATGTCTCTTTTTGCTCCTTGAAGAAGGGGCTACATCTGTCTTATTCAAGACTATACATATGTATATGAGGTCTGGAGAGATGGCTCAGTGGTTAAGTGTGTACTGCTCTTGCAGAGGATCTAAGTTTGGTTCCTAGCACCCACATCTGGTAGTTCACAACCTTGTATAACTAGCTCCAGGGGCTCCAATGCCCTCTTCTGGCCTCCATGGGCACCTGCACTCATATGCACATAGCCCCCCCCCCAATACTAGCACAAACACAAAATTTAAAATAAAACAAATCTTTGTGTGTGTGTGTGTGTGTGTGTGTGTGTGTGTGTGTGTCTTTTGAGACAAGGTCTCCCTGTAGCCCCAACTGGCTTGGAACTAGGTACATAGACCAGGCTGATCTTGAACTCACAAAGATCCCACCTATCTCTGCCTCCCAAGTACTGGGATCAAAGGTGTGTGCCACCACTCCTGTCTAAAAGACTAAAGGCTGGGCATTGTGATACCCGCCCTTAATTCCAGCATTCAAGGCAAAGACAGGCAGATTTCTGTGAGATCGAGGCCAGCCTGGTCTACATAGTAAGTTCCAGGCAGGCCAGGGCTATATAGTGAGACCCTGTCTCAAACACCAAAATAATAGTAATAGTAATAGTAATAATAATAATAATAATAAGCCACAGCTCAACATCCATCCCAAGACTTTTCACATAATACGTGCTTAGTAAGTCTGTTAGAAGAATGACTGTAATAGTATTGACTTTATCAGTACCCTCATAAGACACTGACTTATTAAGAAAAAAACTCACTTTTTAAAAATTTAGAAGAAGCATTTCATGACAACAGCATTGACATATTCAATAACAATTTTCAGAGCTAAGATGCATCTCTTTCAAAATTGGCTATAAATTTTTAGGTTTACAGTTGAATTAATACAGTTATACAATATTGTACTCAGTATAAACCCTGTAAGACATAAAACTGAATGAGGAAAAACACACTTCTTAACGGATACCTCTTGAAATCCGTTTTCCTTTTCAGTCTGTGGCTCTGGCCAGGTTATGTATCCTAGGGATACTGGGCAAACTCCCACCTCCATGTCTGTACCCTGAACTCAGCCACATGCTTCCTCAACCCTTCCTGCACACTAAGTCCTTACCCTCCCTCCGGGTGCTACTCAAACTTCCAGCTTATTATTCTAAAATTACTATTTTGTATTATCATCTATGCCCCCAAAACACAATGCTGAAAATAGGCAATTTATTTCCCAAATGAGACATTTTTTCAGGGAAACTGGAGAAGTTTTGAGACAGGGTCTGTAGCTGCAGCTGGCCTGGAACTCACTATGCAGACCAAGCTGGCCTTGATCTCTACAGAGATCCACTTATCTCTACCTCCCAGGTGCTGGAATCAAAGGTATGTGCCACCATACCAGCACCAGAAGATTTTTTAAAAAAAGAAATTAACTAAAATAAACTTTTAGGGAAATAGATAAGATGGTCAAATGTTTACTTAAATTCAGTTAATTACTGAATTTTATTAATTTCCTTTTTTAACATTTTCAAATCTCTGTTGTTTGAAAATTGTACAGGTCTTTTACAATACAGTATTTTGTTAGTTAAATGACCTCTAGATGTTAATATACAATGAATATCTTTTTCTGAAACTCAACCATGAATTATGGTTTCATCATAGGATTATTCTAAACAGACATAAGATGTTGGGGAAGTCTGAATCCTGTACTTGAAAATATCAGCAAGACAGGCTTTTCCCTAGAGATCCCAAGTGGACTGTGTAGAAAGTGTTTTTGAAGGTTGCTGATTATTTATAGCTGATCTTAAAGTCAGTCAAATTACAGCATTCCTTTTTCTGAAGTTAACTTACTGTTATAGACATTTACAAACACATATTACTACTACCATGAAAAACTCCACCATTAAAAACATTGTTTTAAAGTTACCTGTAGAAGTGAGGGGTAATAAGACAGAAGAAATAGGGAAAGAAGTCAACTTCTCTGAATCTATCTCATCTCATAAATATGTTATATCATTTCATCACAAAATTGGAATTCAAGAAAGGAATTTTCAGGACTGGAGAGACGACTCAGTGGTTAAGACTACTTACTGCTCTTCCAGAGGACCCAAGTATGGCTCCCAGCACCCACCTCGGGTGTCTCACAGTCACCTCTAACTCCAGCTCCAGGGGATCCAACACCCTCTTCTGGCCCCCACAGGTAACTGAACACATGGCAGATATTCATACAGACACACATATACATGAATAAAAATTTTTAAATCTTTTTTAAAAAAGGAATTCTTTTTTTCATTTGTTTATTTTCTGAGATAGGGTCTCCCTGCAGCCCCTACTGGCCTGGAACTTGCTATGCAGATCAGGCTGGCCTGGATCTTATAGAGATCTGCCTGCTTCTGCCTCCCAAGTGCTGGGACCAAAAGCATGTGCCATAATACCTGGGCACAGCTAGCTTTTCAAACTGCTTTTTAGTTAGCACACTATTGGTTGAAGTATTGGTGCTGGGTATCTGGAGGCCATTGTCTATTGTTATATAAAACAGAGAAGTAACTATGGGTTTACTCTGTTGAGAACAGGGATTCCCAAAGGGTTAGAAATAAGACATGGCTGCAAAGTCAAAAGGTAAATAAAAGCCATGTGGTCTTGAATTTGAGTTGAAAGGATCAACAAGAATATATGGAATACACTTTATCTGTAAGTGGTTTTAAATTAGTAAGTTTATTTTTTACCTCTATCCTTTCAAAGGGCCTAGAATATTTGACCAACCAGTTGCTGTATCATTAGCACCCGGATCATGGTCTCTTAAAATACCATGTTTTACTAAAAGGAATCAGAGCTCCTTGAAGAAATGGCTGATCCCAGGTCTGAGTGAGGAAATATACTAGATGTGTCTAAAACCTCATGCTACATCAGGGCATAAGGCAGCACTCAAAGATAAATAGAGTCATGTCCAAAGGACCCTGAAGCCAACTGACAGAGGATCCCTGCCAAAATCAGGATAACGTGAGCATCAACAAAGGTGATAGTTTCAATAGACTAAACATACCAGATGTAATATTAAGATTCACGAGTTTATATCACATTAAAATTTAACAAGGGGGGCTGGAGAGATGACTCTCAGAGCACTGCTTGCTCTTCCACAGGACCAAGGTTCAGTTCCCAGCACCTACATGGCAGCTAACAACCATCCATAACTCCAGTTCCAGGAGATCCGACACCCTCTACTGGTCTCTGGGGGCACTGCACAACATGAGCACACTTATATACATGTAGGCAATACCCTCAGACACATAAAATTTAAAAAATTCATTTATTAAAAATTTAACAAAGGGCAAAGATGTAGCTCAATGGTAAAAAATTTGCCTAGCCTGCAGAAGGCCCTGTGTTCTACTAGTAATGCACATGCATATATACATGCATGTATATGTATGTATGTATGTACACACTTTAGCTAATTGGTCATCATTGAAGGATAATACTAACAAGCCAACTCATGAGTTTGAAAGCTGATCATTTACCTAGGCTTTCCTACACATGGACCAGAGTAGGTGAGAAAGACTTCTCCTAATGAAAGAATAAATGAAGAGAGTGATAAAAAAAGGAATTTTAGAACACTACCACTTTGCACTCCCCACGGACTGCATAGATTTTCAATGGCTGCTAATATCACAAAAGAGAAGCAAGCAGACATTATGAGATTGAAGTATAAGTTGCTCAT